CTGTGTGCCCACTTAGCAGATTTACAGGCTTCCTAACAGCCGTCAAACATACAGACTTGATATGCTCAAGAAAGGAATCAATTATGTAAAATAAACCATTCTCCATAACTCGCTGCAATTTATATTTATTTTCTGCTACAAAAGCAAAAGCTCTGCAAAGAAAATAAGAACTCCAAGCTAAAACCACCAGGTGTAAACCAGCCACAAACTCTTCAGAACTATTGCTGCTTTGCAGACCCCCAGCTGAGCTGCCCCCTATTTCCTCCTGCTAGAAAACAGCTCTGCCCCCTCCCCAGCCCTAAAATCTTGCTCGTTTTTCTCCTTTTCTGCTCCAAAAAGCGCTGGGGGACATACGAGCCCTTAAGAGATGCTGCACAAAAGCACGCTGCCTTACCCCAGGAAGGTCTGTGTGAGATCTGGGACATGCATTTACCTCTGTGAAGCCCTCCTGCAGAATATCCAGCAAATTCCCCCTGGCCAAGCAGGCAAGCATTCTCCACGAGCCCGCTGACGGACGAGGGTCTCAGAGGACACAGGGCAGATCCTTGGGCGCTGGGCACAACCTCTTCTCCGCCTCCCAAAGACAAAGAGTTGGAGCTCATCGGGAACCGCATTCATAGTCCCATATGTGCAGCCCGTTACTGCACACGGAGAGTTGAGCCAAAGTCAGGGCTTGCACTGGGCATGCTCGCGAGAGAGCTGCCAGGGAGCAGTGGGAGAGATGTCACACAGTTCCTATAGAAACGCTTCAGCTTACACGATGCAGGCCCTGGGCTGAGTTGGGGAAAACATCTGAAACCTATTTCCAAGTAGCCGTGCTCACACAAAACCTGCTGCGTAAAAAGAGATTTTTCAAACCCACCAAACACTGCGAGCCCTGTCTGGTGTGGGGGCAGGGACAGAGTCAGCAAATAGCAGATGTCTTGCTCAGCTAGAAAAGCGAGAGGAAAGGCTGTACGAGCTGCCAGATTTAGCTCTCGGCAATCGCTCTGCAGCCCTGAAGAAACAGCAGCATTTTCAGCAACCCAGCAGAGGCAGGAAGCTGCAAACCAGGCCACAAGACAGCTGCAATATTTGCACGGCACTGGGCTCTGCCCTAGCTGCAGTGGCAATGGAGTCTGGAGAAGAAATAAGACTGAAAACTTCCAAATTAGAATTAAATACGAACCTCAGCAAAGTCTCTAAATCAAAAATAACTGCATTCATTCCAGAAAGAAAGTATCAGGTATCTCTAGGCAATATCTCAAACTTCATCTCATCTTGCACAAAACGCCCTGAAAAAAACACAAAAAAACTCTCGGGATGGATGAAACCACCTTCTGCCAGGTGCTCCATCTGCCAGTTCCCAGAGCAACTCAGCACTATTCAGGCAGAGCCTTCAGGTTTCCAAATATCTGGCCAAGCATTTCTAAGTGAGATACACATTTAAAAACAAATATGTTTTCCTGCCTGAGTATTGAAGCATCCAGAGGAAAAAGCAACTGCATAACTTTACCACCCTAATGTTTTCTGTCAAATATGCAGGTAAAATAGAGAAAGACAAGCAACAGGTAATTTCCTTCTATAACCAACCCAAGTTATTCAAAACGGAGTCAGCGTCCACTCATAGCCTAAATTTTAAATTATTTATTCTTGTTTGCCTTTCCTACTTACTTTTCATAATTCAGTGGGGACTGAGAGTTTTGTTTTCATTGACTGTAATATCACAGCAAAACAGTAAATTATGAGGAGGCTTTGCAAAAAATCTTGAAAGGTGGCAATGCTGGTGGTTAGTACCTTGATCCAGTTTGCTTTTGAGACTCAAAATTACTCAAAATGCCATTAATTAGATGACAGGAAACATCTATCCGTATTTTGTATAATGCAAACAAGTAGGCTCTGCCCTTGCAATTTCAAGAAAATTTCACATAAAAACTGAATGTTTTCCCTATCAAAAAGGAAGTGAAAAACACAACAAAACATTTGGAGCCTTTTCTGTGAACGTTACAATGATATTCTTGTCTGATAATCTAAATGAAAAAAAAATAAATATATTTATGATCTGTTTTTCAATGCTTCATTGTAAATATATATTCATAGAAGTTTACAGGTAGGAATGCTGAGGTCATCCATTCCCTGTAATCCTGCAATTTCTGGAACTAAAAATAAACAAACTGCAGATGTACAAAAGAGAAATCACATGTACTTGGGAAGCACAAAGGAGGTGGCAGATGGCTGTTACGTGTTCTCTGATTGTTTTTAGAATTTGTTTTATGACTTCAATAGCAGATTAAATATTGTATGCTCACAATCCCTACAAGCTCTAGATATTTACACTTGTCCTTTGAAGAGGAGATAAACCATAGGGAGGCACAGACTTTATACTGGAGACATGACCCAAATTTGCAGGATTAAAAATAAGAATAAAGAGATAATCTGTTCAAACAGCACAGAAATACAAAGGATAAATACAATTTAATTTGTAAAATGTATTGCTTAAATCATCATAAGATGATAGGTTGAGAAAAAGAGTTAATTGATTATGGACCTCAGTGGCATTTAGTGGAAATTAAAAAATATATATATAATTTTTAGTCCTGAGAAGCATTTCTCAGTGATATTCCTACTGTGGAGCTTCTACCTGCTGGAGCACAGAAAAGGGCAAAGTGCTCCCATTACACAGGGCAGGTTCAGGGAAAGGCCTGCTCGCAGTGTGTTGTCCGTAAGAGATTGTCATCAAAGATTTTTTTCCACACGGGGATTCTTATCTCTGAAACAGAACCGCCTTGCTTTGACAACAGGAATGTCAGAGAATAGAAACTAGGCCATTTCTGATGGCTATGAGTGGTAGAGAGTGCTGGGCCATTTTTCTGTTCATTGTGGTAATATAAATGCATCTTGGGTGTCTGTGTGTGCTGAAAATACCTTTTAAAGATTAAACTCCATTTCTCCCCTCTTTGTGTTTCACTCTTAAATTTCAAGCTTCTTGTAGAAGGAATAATATTTTTCCTTCAGCTGCATAGCATCACAAAAGCTGCCTTTGAATGTTGTATTTGCAAGAAGAAAAACTAATGCTTCATAATTCTACCTTTCAAGAGTGACTTTTAACACTCACGAAGAGTAATTCCGAGATGAAGGCAAAGGGAGGCAGTGAAACGAGAAGGATCTCGGCGCCTGCTTGTCCTGGTGCGAGTGACCTTCAAAACAAACGCGCCGGGTGGCAGTTTGGTTGGTGCCACTGCCCTCTCCTGGCTGCTTTCAGCATAACCTCTGTGCTTTCGCCTGCTGAATCCTGGGCAAGGTGCACGACATAGCCCAGTTCCTGCTCCATTTCCTGTAGCTGTGAGGTGACAGCCGTCGTGTCACTGCACAACACCAGCACAAACACCTGAGCCTTCCCTCAAGCTCTCCATGCAAGGATTTTAAAGCACTTTATCAACATTCACTGATTATTTGCCTTATCAGCGCTTGAGAATGAGAGAAGAATCAACAGCCACAGCTGAGCTCTTACTAATAATAATTTAGTTGGGGAAATAAGAGTGAGGTTCAAGACAAAGCTTGTGCAGCCATGACTGCAGGAACCTGTCTAAAACAGCTAATGCTTTCGTGTCACTGAGTGCTCTCTCCCAGCCTCCCATTAAGCATCCCGAACAATGCTCAGGCACAAAAAATACTCCGGGGAACTCACGGACAATGCAGCAGGCTGTGATGTGTGATGGGGCACCACATCCACTGGAGTTCCCATGCCGGGTGCCACAGCTCAGCGCCAGGAGGAACGTAGCAGCAGTGCTCCTGCCCCCTTGAAGCAAACATAGAATCATAGAATCATAGAATATCCTGAGTTGGAAGGGACCCTTAAGGATCATCAAGTCCAACTCTTGACACCGCACAGGTCTACCCAAAACATATTAAGAACAAAGAATTTTCTTAGAGGGAAACAGACTTAGCAATGCAATGCCTGAATATAACCAACAGAAAGGAGGAAAGTTTCCCCCTTTTATTACTGCCTGAAAAAAAATACATATTTAAGGGCTACTATCTTAGGGAAAATTATACATTTTTATATTTTGTTCCACATGTAAAGGATGTACAGGGGGCAGAATTCCTATGAAACGTTATGTAGAAAAGATTGCTGATTACATTGGCTCATAGTGCACATAGGGTCTAATTATCTTCTGCATTTGTGCAAGGGGAATCCAAATTCCTTTGTGTCAAATATTCAGGGTATTATTTGATTTGGTGTTAAACGACCCTGACAGCAAACACTCATAAGCAACTTTAGGAAACAATTCCCCAAACTGACATTTATATTTGGGATTTTGGGGGTAATCTGTATTTTTTTGCTCTGTCTTCTTTTGGGATTCTGGAGAAATGTCTGGTGAAAGGAGAGGTGGGGGAGTTTGGACGAGCTACCAGAATGGAAAACGGTGAGACTCCTTAAGAGACACCCCACAAGAAAGACCCCATGAAAGACTTTCATGGGGAAAGAAATGGCACAGCAGTGGCAAATGCGATATTTAAAGATGTTTTAAAGGCATGTAACCTGTAGGCCGATGGCTGCTGCTGTCTCTGGCGTGTCCAGGGCTGCAGGTCAGGGGTCTGAAGGCTGCCGGAGCCCAGGCCTGCTGCTGCCCCTGCTGCGGGCTGGGGCTTTTGGGGTCCACCGTGCTGGCAGCAAGAGACGAGGGGAGCCCAGAGCGAGGACGGGAAACCGGGGAGGGGGCTGGAGCAGGAGCGGAGCAGGCCTGGGGACACCGGGGCTGCGGGGAACGGAGGGTCCCGGGGGCTGAGGAACGCCGGGGTGGCACCGAGAACCGGGAGCCGAGGCCCTGCCTGCGGCCGGCCGGCTGCGGACCCGGCCCCCGCGCGTCGCCGCTGCCATGGGGACGGGAACGGGGCTGGGAACGGGGCGGGCCGGGCCGAGGGCTCGGCCCCCGAAAGCGAGGGCGTTTCCATGGGGGCGAGGTCCCCTGTCAGCCCCAGGAAGCCCCTGCCGCCGGGATAAAGTGCGAATTTATCAGTTCACGCCGAAAATCAAGTGTTTAATGTCCGAAGAGCACTTGATGCGTTTAACACTCGTTTAACCCCTAAACAGGCAACCTTGGGTAACACCGGGCATGTAGCTGGAATCTGTTAATACTCACTGCAAAATAAAGGCTTTTAGAAAAACCCTTACTCCAAAATACGTGATTTTCACATTTTAGAGATCCAAGGCCCTGATTTTCCCGGTGCCACACTGGTACAAGTCGATGCTGCATGTGCAGATTTACCCCAGGCTGTGCCCAGGAGCAGACCCAGTGCTGGGCTGTCCCCAGCCCCAGCTTGCCTGGTGGTGAGGAAAGCTCCAGTACCACAAAAAAAGACCCTTCACGGTGCTTGACACTGCAGTAACAGGTAGTTTCTGTCAAATTGTCTTTAAAAATGACTTGTTGGAGTCAGCACCTTCCAGAAAACCTCCCCTCTGGTGAATTATAGTCTATATTTAATAAATGTATTACATATATATATATATATTTATTCCTGCACTGCAGAGGGCTTGGTTTGAGCTTTAACCAGTGTGCCTTTTCAGTTCTGGTACCAGCAGCTCAGTGCGAGGAGGTCCCCAGCTGCTGCTCAGCACCGGCTGGGCCTGGGGCTGTGTCCTGGGAGCCCCTCCGGTGGCTGGGCTAAGCAGGACCGAGTGCTCAGGCAGTCCCGTGTTCCCTAAATTGTCCCCCCCTGCCCATTCAGTCCTCCTCGCTACGGGTTTTTGTCCTTGGCACTCAGAAGAGCCAGCCCTCAAACAGCATAATACTGTGCCCATTGTAAATGAAGGGTCTTTTGCTGCAGGCCTTGCAATAGCCGTGCAGAGGTCAGCTCAATAGCATGGGCAAAAAAAAAACACAGTTCAGGCAGAAAAATAAACTGTCTCCATTATTGAAAATGGAGACAAATTTCTTCTTTCTGCAAACCTTACTCTGGCCTTTTAATAGCCCTGCTGAGGTCCACTGGATAGCACAGGCAAAAAGCAGAAAAATTGTAGGATTGGTCCTTAAAACATTTTCATCTTAGTACACACTACCCGTACCAGCTTTATTTTTTGTAACGAGCAGGAACTCCTTCATGGTTTTTTTTTGTTGGTGGTGGTTTTTGTTTTTTTTTTTACATATAGCTAAACCATAATATGCAAAATGATGCATGTTTATAAAGTGTACAATGAAGTCCATTTTTCAACAATGGCAATAAACAGGTTGTTCCACGACCTGCATTTGGCTATGCAGACCATTGCTGAGGAAGAGAACATGCTAACCATTGATCTAGGGCCTGAGGACACTGCTTGGGAGCACTGTGCTACTGCCAATGGTGCAAATGTCAATCTCAATCCAGTGGCAGAAGCCTTTTGGACGGCTGCTGTACTGCATTACTGACATTATTTTAAACCCATAAATTCTCAAATGTGTCTTTGGGAGCTTTAGCAGAAAACACCACGTGGTATGTGCTCTGCTTTACAGGGTTTTATAACTAAGGCTGACAATACAAAATAAGAAAACACGAAGAAAAAGTCCAAAGCCTTCTCTAAAGTTGGCCAGGATTCATTCCTAGTGTCTCAGGCATGCAAACAGCTACTGTGCTCTAAGGATTGGATAACTGCCCTAAATATAGGCAGTGGCTTTTAAATGGCTGTCCTACAGATAACCTGCAAATCTGCCTTCTTTCATTGCCAGTCAGAGCCAAGAGCTCAGTGCTCACTTTTGTGCACCTTGGGCTAAGGATGCGTGTCAGTACCGCCCTTCAGCGAAAGGAATTGTTCTGTACCCTTCAGTTAATTCTGCATTTTTGGCCTTGGTCTCAGTATGCTGTGCATGGCTGTAAAACACTGCTTTTTTAGAAGAGGGATGCACAGAGTGCATGACTGCAGCGTACAGTGGCTGGTGTTGGAGGAAAACATTGCGGCAGATACCCTTAAAACTTCCATACAATTTCCTCACAGTATCATCCCCATATCATTCTGCACGTTGCAGAATTTTCTTAACCTCAACATAAAATCCCATGGCAACATCTCCCTTGTCCCAGTATGGACTCCTCTATCCCCTGTTCCCAAATCTGCCGGCACAACCGCGCTTGGAACATCCTCCTGGCAGCTCCAGGCTGTGATTTTAACCATCACCAGCCAAGCAGCAGCTCTGCCTTCTCGCAGGGCAGAGAGGAGATGGGTTGCCAGCTTCAGAGGCAACATGGATTTTCCAAGGGGAAGAAGTGGCTTTTTTTTTTTGCCAGCAGAACCAGACAGGTAACTGTTCCTCGTGTGAGAATAAATACACCTCTGTCCTCTGAAGGCACACACAGGTGGAAGACACAGCCTCTCTGCTTCGCAGGCAGACACAACGTGTCCATGAGGTTAGCTCGAGTCTACGGCATCTCTAAGTCTGTGAAATCCTTTTGCTGCTGAACGAGGAGGGAGGCACCAGGCCTTTTAAACCAGAGTCCCGTTCTTACTGTCATATTTCAGCCTGGGCCGGGGGAAGTTGAGGGTGGCATACTCTGTGGCATTCTGCATCTGCAAGTTCTTCACCTCCTCCGCGGAGCGCTCCCGGACCTTGGTGAACACCTGGATGTCTGCGTAATGAATGCTGTCGTCCTGCTTCATGTTCTTGGGTTTACTCACAGTGGCGTAGACGGGAGACTCCGAGACATTTTCGTACGTTGGAGCCTTTGGGGAGAAAAAGCTCCAGATGGTCAGCTCTGGGCTACTGCTACACCTGCCCAGATGCCTGCATGCTGCCCCCAGCACCCCCAGCCCTCTGACATCTCCTGCTCAGAGAGACAGGTTTCATCCTACTGCTTCCACTGCACTTTTAGGGGAAAAAATCGTTTCCACATTGTTCCCAGAGCCAAACCCAGCCTACATCAGATGAGACATTTCACAGCTGTGGATAATGGCCCCACATCTCCCTGACCCCTCTAGGCCAGGAGGTGATGGTCAGCTCTGTCCTGTCAGTATCCCGTAAGCAAAACAACTCTGGGAAGCTGTTTACCTTCCTGCCAGGCTGGTGCTGTTGGCTCTCGTGTCTCACATCGGTTCCTGAAAAAGAAACACCAGCGGATCAGGTTAACACAACTGTTTATTGTTCCATCTCTGAATTCAGAAATGCAGCATCTGGCACACGGGCTCTCTCCACTGGACGCAAATCAAATTTCCACCCCATCTGACATCTTCAGCCCTAACGCTGTCTTTGAGGCCTGCCTCCGAGAAGAAAGCCTGGGCTTGTTTCTTTGGAAAAAATAAGGTTTCCTGGGATGACAACATGCTGTGGACCGCAATGTTCTTGGCAGAACCTAGGAGGACTCACACAGCACAGAGAGCTTCCTTGTCAGGCCCTTGAAGAAGTCAGATCCAGTTTTAACTTTGTTATTTCCTCTGCTGCCTGCAAACATATTTTGCCCAGCATGGTCCAAAGGCCACAGGACACAACTGGGCTATGTAGGACCCCCCTTTATCCTGGGACACTGATATTCAGATGGATGTTTGTGGCACTTAGGGGAGTTTGACGCAGCTTCTGCTTTGCTGCCTCTTGAGAGCACTCACACGCTTTTCGATGTGAGACTTTGGTATTTTAAAGACACTTCTGAAGCCCCTTCCCTCCCCCTTGCCGAGCTCCATGGCATATCATACCCCTCGCTGTAAATTTTAATGAAATTTTGCCTCTTGCCTCTGCTCTTGAGAAAGGTTAGGTACAGAAGAATTTGTGAGAGCACCTCAGCCTTAGGGGTCCATTTACAGCCAGCGCTGATGAATGCCAGCTAACCAGGGGCTGATTTATGCCCCCCGTTCTTGTGCTGTAGAGCATCTTCACAAATCCTTACCTTGCTTTTCCTTCTTCCTTTTAAAAAGTGAAAGACAGTTCCTGAAATGAGAGAGAGACGTCAGCCCGGAGAAGCCCCAGCCTCTGCTCTCATAACACGCAAAACCAAATGCACCACCCCAGGGTACTGCATCCATGCTGTTTGTGGTGTCTGGGGCTGCCAGGACGCCCTGAACAGCTCCATGGGCTCCAGCCCTGCTGGTGGAATGAGGCACCCTCTGAACCTGAGCAGCTTTTGTAGGGAAAAGGTCCAAGGGAGAGACGTGGGGCTGCATATCCTTCTTTTGTGAGTCATCTACTGTGCCCTATAGACACCCACAAGGCTCCTTGCTGTCCTGCCCTGTCTGGTTGTCCCGATGGACCTGCATCAGTGTGAGTGGGAACAGATTTCACTGTGGTTTTGCAACTGCGTTTCCACAGCTCAGTGGCCAAAGATGTGGGGTGCTGAGCGTGATCTCAGCTAGCACAAAACGTTTCTCTTAGGGCCAGATGCTCTCATAGCCCCATGCCCTGTGCTTTAGCCCCTGTGCCCAAGGAACAGCTGCACAGCCCATGTGCTGATTTAATGTTTCAGACTGTGTTTTTCCTGTTCGCAGCTTTCCACCTAAAACGCTACCAAACCAAACAAGCTGCACGCTTTATACAAGCCAAGCCAAACCCTAATCTTGTCTGTACCTGTGTGACCAGAGAGCGACAAGCCAAACACAGCTACGGCCCAGCCACAGTGCGGATGGGAGCCAAATTCCTTCCTGCTGCAACAACAGAGCCAGGAGCCAAGCTCCTATCTGCCTGGCCGAGCAGAGACGTGTCACACTCCGTGCCAGATGCACGAAGCAAATGTTAGCCCTGCAGCACAAAGCAAATGTTATCCTTGCAGCACACTCGCATGTCTGGAGGAGAGCAGGTGCCAGCCCCTCGTGGGCTGCAGCACAGCTGAAAAGGGACAGGCAGTGCTCTGAAAGGGGCTGAAGAGCTCCCAGCTGGTACCAAGGAGCAGCGTGTGTCCCACAGGGTGTGCATTCGCCAGGCAGGTCTGCCACAAAGCAGCCCCTGAGGCAGAGCTTTGCCTCTGTCTTCTTTTAGAGGCATTTTGGGGAGGCGGCTGGGTTGTGCAGTAATGGCTTAGGTGCTCTAATGGCAAAAGGAGAAAAGGAAAATAACGGCCAAGAACCTGGAAAACCTCTGAAATGGCTGGCAATGATTAACCAGGCCTGCTGGAGCTGGGAAGTCAAAGGCAGCCCTGGGGAGAGCTGGGGGGGCCATGCCTGTACAACAGGATCCAATGCTGCTTCTCACCCCTCTGCTGTGTCCTGCCAGCCCTCCAGTCCCTGGCAGACAAAATCTGCCAGCAAGGCAATCTTGTCTTGGGGGGGGGGGAGGGAATTTTAACTTTCAGCTCCCTCCTCCAACATCCCTGTGAGCCTGCAGGGTCTCCAGGGCCCTCCCTAGCAAGCCTTGTGTACCTCAGGCCTTTGCTTCCTTACAGTATTCAGGCAGGTTGTGCACTGTAATTAAAATAATGCCATTTGAAGTAAAACTGACAGGGTCCCTTGCCTCTTTCCAGGGAGGTGGGTCCCTAAACCAGCTTTCCAAGCTGCTCTGTCTTGTTTGGGTTGTCTTTCTTTGCAGAGAGAGCATTAGCAGGTAGTGTGTAGGCTGGAGGTACGCTGAGGCTGTCTGCAGGCTAATCGTAGCCCAGCAGGAGATGGCATCTCCTTGCCTCAGATCTGCGGTAATTAGAAAGGATGTGGCAAGGGAAACAAGAGCAGGGTAAACCTCTCCCCTCCTCTTCTCAAAACCAGGTCATATGTGTTGTAACTAACTCACAGCCTGCTAGGCTGTATTCTGCATGACAACGCACAGCGATACGCTGCTTCTCCCTTCCCTGTCTCAGCAGCATCCTGATCTCTGCCCTACACAAGGCTATGGCTTTGTGGTAATGGCTTTTCTCTGAAAATGTCAGGAACCTCCTCGGTCTCTTGCCATTTGCCCCCCCTTAAGGCACACACTTTGGCAGCGATCATGACCAGGATCTTCCATCCAGCAGCGGGGTGCCTGCCTCCCCTGAGCCCTTTTGTGAGTCTCAGCTTTCTTTAGGAAGCCCAGCTCTTTGCTGACACAGCTGTGGTGCTGAGCAAATACCCAAAAACACAAGCGGTTCTGATGCCTGAACTAAAATTAGGTAGCATTTTTTCCCCCTCTGTCACTGAGGTGAAGCCATGAACCATGCAAACTGCTGCAGTGGGGCTTCACTGTGCTTGGTCATGGTCCTCTGTAGGTGTCCCACAGCCCATGTTACCAACAGCACATCCCCATTTACCTTCACCCACGTATTTCCCTGTGCAGGGCAGGGAAAGATGCTCCTGGGGAGAGAGCTCTGCTTTTTTAGGGCCCCACGCAGCCCCTAAGGCAGGTGGTAGCACCCAAGTCCCTCAGGGGTGCTGGGGGCAAAAGGGTCTTTGGCCAGAGCCCTGCCCCTGCTGCCACCAGCAGAAACTCCACGCCAGCTTCTTGCTTTCTAGGCAGCCTCTGGGAATAAAATCACGCAGGACACAGCAGCCCCGGTCCCTTGGGATGGCAGAACTTGACGTTGCCCCAGAGGAGCCTGCAGGAGCCATCGCTGCTCCCCAGTCAGAGCACAAAGCTGCTCTCCTGTTCGGCCCTGCCTGGGCGAGTGACCTCCAGATCCGGGTTTGTTCCTCCTTCAGCAGCAGCAGTGTTTGCACAGGGCCTGGCACTGCTTGGACCTGGCAGCGCCCCACGACGTGAGAGCACCCCTGGCTCTCACCGCCCCCAGCCCTGTCCCAAGGGATGCCCCCGGTGCCTCATTTCCCCCAGTCACCGGGCAGAGGACGTAGGAAAAGGGGCTTTTGGTGGGGAGATGTCACCCACCTGCCTCCCACCTGCACTTTCTAGCCCTGAATCCCGAACTCCCTGACCCCCCCTCCCCTGCTGCAGCCACTAGGTGATGCTGTGCCGCTTTTAATTATTAAAAAAGCGCCGGCGATTTTCGGACACTTTCGCAAAGCCGGCGCTGGAGGCAGGGAACGTCCTCCGGGCTCCGGCCGGCAGTCGCCGCTCCCCCCTCGCACCCCCCCGGCGGCTCAGCAGACCTGGCACCGCAGGATGCTCCCCCCTCTGCCCTTTTTCATCAAGAAATAGTGGGCTGGGGGGGGGGGTTAAAGGGCTGTGTCCCTCCAGGGGCACGGACCCACAGCACCAGGAGGAGCTGCCAGGGCTCCCCAAGCGGGGGCAGGAGCGGACAGGGGGTCCCCGACGAGTGCCCTGCCTCCCGGGGCTTGCTTTGCTTTGGGGGATCTGATTTTCGGTCCCTCGGCTCTTCTCAGCCCCGACCAGGGGGAAGCCGGGCTGCGGACCCCCCCAAAAAAAACTTATCGGGGTGGCGGTGGCGGTTTGGAGGGGGAGATGCCCACCCCCTGCCCGCCGCCGCCCCACTCACCGCGGGCGGCCGCAGCTGCAGCGGTTGCCCATGTCGCTCCCTCCTCCGCGCAGCAGGAGCGGCTTGTGGCCGGGCACAGCCCGTGTTTCCTCCTTCCCGGCCCCCGGCAGCTCCCGGGGAGTGTCTCCCTGGCTCGGGTTTCTCGCCAGCGCCGCGCCGGGGCCGTGCGTGCCATCTACCGGGGGGCTCCGGGCTCCCGGCTGCAGCCCCAGGCTGGATCCTGCCCGTGTCCCGGCCTTAGAAAGCTGTCCGAGGGGAAGCTTTGGGCTTGTGGGTGTGCTAAAGCCCAGCTCGCGGCGTTAAAGGTCTGCAGTGTAGCCCCCAGGCTCCCCCCTGTGCCTTTCACCCATCCTCTGTACCCAGGGGAGATCCCTCCAGCCCACGCCCTGGGCTGTGCCCCAAGGAGCTGGTTGTGGAGCTGCTGCTAAATGCTGAAGGTGCCGTGCTCGTGGTACCCTGGAGCAGAGCCCATGAGCTCCACAGGCAAGGTTTTGCAGCTCTGTGCTGGCCTCACAGGTGGCTGAGCTTTAATTCACCCTTCTGGAGGGGGAGCCAGCCCTTAGACCCCTAAAAGTGACAGCCCCAGGCTGTGCCCCTGCTCTCGGCCAGGCTCACGGCATCGTTTGTCAGCTGCCCAAGTGCAGGGCAAAGCCTGGGGGTGTCCAGAAGTGGCAGGAGGAGAAGGGTTCTGCTGTGCATGGACCACGGGGCACTGCTGCTCTCAGCTGAGTCCTGGGTGAGCTGCACAGCCTGTCTCTGGCACTGAAATACTCTGGGCTCACCCAGCACACCCAGTACACCCAGCACCCCAGGGAGGATTGGGGGTCTGGCCAAATCAGGATTCGGTCCTGTCCCGACAGGACCCTGTCCTTGGACTCCTGCAAAGGCCAGGTGGTCTCAGGAGCCTGCATCCCCCTGGGAAAGTGCAGACTGCATGTCTTTGGGTTTGCCACAGACACTGTTGATTCAGTGAGCCCATGTCTGTTTAGATTTCTGGGATAACTTGGTCTTTGTTTCTTTGTGGAGAAAGAAAATAAAAAGGCTGCGAGCCCATTCCCAGCAGCCCCTGACACAAGTGCTGGAGCTGCTGGTTTGAGCTCCACCAGTGAAACAGAAAGGCATCGAAAACATTGGCAGGGCTGGAGAGCACTTGGCTGCCGTTCTGCATTCCCTCTGCAGCCCCTGTCTGCGGGGCTGGGAGGCAGCCTTGGCTTCCAGAGCTCAGCAAACCCACCGGGCTCCGGCATGCACAGGGGTGAGGAGCAGCCCCCGGCCGCCACCAGGCAGTGCCAGCACCATGCTGCCCGGGGCAGCTGTCTTCATGCTCCTGGAGACATCGTCTGGGTAGCGAGCTGTGAAGTTGGCACAGGACAAGCCTGCGAGTGCCCAGCAAAGGAGAATGAACTTGGTGGAGAGCTAAGGCAGCGCTAATGAAAGCCAGAGGGGGAAGAGAGCAGCATAGAGGCTGCTAATGCTGCATGTTTCCACTGCAGCAGTGTTGGGGTACTGCAGGCACCGGGGGACTGGGAGCATGCCACAACAGGTGTGGTACGGGCACACAGCGAGCTGGCATCATCTCCAAAACATGAAGATGAGAGAGCTCTGAACTGATCTGGCCACTTCTCCCTTAGGATCCGCTCCGTGGTAGCCCCAGCCCAGGCCCCGTGGCTGTTTTTAGGGACCCAGGTGGGTGCTGCAGGGAGTGGGATGTGGTGTGCGCAGTGCTCGAGGCTGGTGCAGCGTGTGCCCAGCAGCATGGGGGCTGCACACAGAGCAGTTGCTTCTCGAAGGCTGGGAAATTTCTGCCCTTAGAAGCGGCCACTTCAGGTGACTGACGGCCACTAGCAGAGGGTTATCTCTTGAGTTACTACCAATAACCTAGACAAAGCCTGTTGTAAAGGTGATTTTTATTTTGGCATCAACTGAAATGCTCTCTGGCAGCAGCTTATCTGGTCCTACAGAGTAAGGGCATCCCCCAGCGGCATGTACCACGGCTGTGGGTGATGTGCACCGGGCAGGATGGATGCTCTGTCACCCTCCTGCTCACTCCCATAGTGCTGGTGAGCAGGGCAGCTTTTCTCTTCCCTCTGACCCTCACTGCAGGCAGGGACTCCAAGGAGCAGAAAGCAGCAGTACGGAGGTTGGTGGGCGAAGGAGCAGCCTGAGCACGGCCTTTCTGGTCCTGCCCGTGCAGGAAGGCAGTGTGCAGAAACCCACAGCCCTGTCCTGGCAGGAGGAGGCTCCGGCCATAGGTCCCTGGAACTTTTCTGCCTCCCATGGGAGGGCTGCAGCGAGCCCTGCCAGGGACCCCCATATTCGGCCAGTGACACAGCAATTTGGCTGCTTTAATTGGCACTGACGAGGATTGTGCCTGGCGCCTGCTGAGCCCTGGGGCCGGCCGAGGCAGCAGCTGCTGCCGACAGCAGCACACCCGATCCCTGGCCCAGCATCACACGGCCGTGGATAGGTTTCTCATGTAGCTGGTCGCATCACTGTGCCTGCAAAAGGGGCAAAATTCTCCCCTCTGTGGCTCCACAGAGGGTGCTGGGATGCCAGCAAGGTGTTTGGGACCTGAGCAAAGCCTTTCCCATTGGCATTTTGGGGTTTGCTCCCCTCACAAGAGCTAAAAGATTTGCATGTGAACAAGCCTCACGTCCCATGAAAGAGTGGGCTGAAGCAGGGACATGGCTTTGGTGATTATTTACTCGGGCTGACTCCATCTCCAGCTCTGGACTCTCACTGTGAGCCTCCAAAGCCCACGCCCACGGTGTGGCCAGAAGCAATGCAAACCTAGGGAAGTGACAGCAGGCCAGAGGCAGATTTATTTCTCCTTCCTCCTGAGAGCTGCAGGTGCTTTTACAGACCAATGAGAGCCGTGTGTGCACACACAGGTCATCTGCCAGCTCCAGACTGAGGCTCTGGGCTCGTTCCTTCCCTGGGGCAGGAACAGCTTTTGGGCGAGAGTCACCCTTCCCGGGCGGGGTGAGAGAAGGGCACGGTGCTCAGCCGGGCCCAGGAGAAAACTTGCATTACAGTCCCTCCCACAAACACTTCAGTCCCATGTTTTTTTCAATTCCAAACCCTTTTTTCCAACCACCAGCTGTAAGAAGCTGAAGTCTGGCATTTACATGGCTGCCTCCCAGCCCTGCTGGGTGCTGGTGGTGAGAAATCAGGGTCTGGCACTGTGACTCCCCTCCCTCTCCCCCCCTATCCTGCTGCTCAAGCCCAGCTTTGGGGCCTTTAGGACTCTTCCTTCCCTTTTCCTTCCTCGGCCCATTCTTCTTTCCCCACCGGCTGCTCCTGGTGGGTTATCTTCACCTCGTTGACCCTGGCCTTCACCTCTTTCCCCGTCCGGGGAGCCACAATGCTTAGGATGCCATCGTGGGACAAGGTGGCCCTCACCAGCAAGGGGTCGACGTCCAGTGGGAGGATGTAGGTCCTGGTGAACTCTCGGGAGATGAAGCCGTGGCGGTCAGCCTTCTGCGGGTGCTGCCCCATCACCTCCAGCAGGTTGTCCACAGTGCGGACGGTGAGCTCGCTGGGGAGGAAGTGGCAGACATCCAGGAATACCTGGAACTTGTGCTCGTTGAGGCTGACCTCAGATGTGCCTCGGTCCAGCTGCTTGTTGATGCGGGGCCTGATGTAGTAGCCGTGGTACAGGGCAGGGGCTAGAATTTCACACGGGGACACACCTGAAAATGAGACCCAGTGAGGGTTTCCCCGAGCAAGGGGCTGGAGAAGGAAGCTTGGCAGGGGGGTAGGAGGAGGCTGGGACCTAGAGAACACCTTGGCTTTGCCACCACATCATCTACATGATGGGGACAGCCTCTGGCAGTTCCTACCCTTGTGTCTCCAAAACCACGCTCGGTGCCAGATGCTCGCACACCATGAGTTGTGCATGCTGGGTGCACTGGGAGGGACTGGTGGGTGCACTGGGCGCTTGGCAGTGCAAAGCCCACGGCCAGGGCTTGGCATGCAAAATGCTGATGGTGAAGAAACTGCCCTTGAAGAACTAAAAGGCCTTTTGTGTGCCATTGTCCGGGGGGCTTTCCTTGGAGCTTTTTGCCTTTTCACGCTGTTGTGCAGGCACTGAATGGTTCTGCTGCTGCCCACATTCCTTCCTCTCAGCCAGCCGCCAGCCGCTGCTGGGCTTTGTGCTCAACACCCCAGCTCAGCTTTTCGCCGCTGCCCCCGGATACAAAATCTCCCCCCCTCTTCACACCAGCAGCTTTCTAAATTTTCACCCCTCCACCTCTCCTGTGGCCAGGGCTCCCCGCTCAGCCTCCCCTGGCGATGAAGGTGAGCACGGGGCCGTGTCCTGCACAGCCACATGGTTGCCCAGCCTCTGCTGGGGTGTATATGGGGTGTGCAGGGCTGCCGGAGGAAAGCCTTACCCACAGCCAGGCTGCAGAGGAGGATTTTGCTCTGCACTGGCACAGCATGTGCACAAATGACAGACCACTGGGGGCATAAGGGAGGGACAGGGGAGATGGTGCTGGGTATGGATGGAAGGGGTGGACCTAAAGAGAAAGACCCTGGGTATTGCTCTCTGATTTTACCTGGCTGCCCATGCTTAAGCTTCCTTGGCTCCAGGAACCCCCCTCTGGAGCTCAGCCTGCCCAGAAAGACTCCAGCAGCCTCCTCCAGCAGAGGACAGAAAGGTGCCGGGGGGGCCCGTCTCTCTCCTTACCTTCTCCAAAGTTCTGGTCGTAGATCTTGCTGGGGTTGGCGAACTCATACTCGGAACTCATGGGGTAGGCGTGGGGCACGGTCCGTGCAGCCATGGTGTGCTGGGGAAGGGGGACCGTCCGTGCACTCGCTGCCTCACTTCGCTCTGAGAGTGAAGGCTGCAGATTGCAAGGTTTTAGTTGGGTGAATTCCGCAGGGAGGAGGGTGTGATAAAAAGATGGACCAAAATAGCCTGCGCGCAGGCCCTGGGTTGCCTTGCCAGGGTGATGAGGGAAGCTCCTCGCTGCATTCCTGAAGGCAGCAGCAGGCTCTGCCCGTCCGTGGGGAGGATCCTGCACCCCTTCCCCTGAGATCCCCTCCTCGGGCAGGGCACAGGGGGCAGGTTCAGAGGTTTACCACTGGCCCTGACACCCCTGAGTGACCCCACGGGGACAGGGCAGTGTTTCATGGCGGCTGGTGCTCAGTCGGGTCATGCAAAGTCACCGTCATCACCTCACATCCCGAATGGTGCTGCTGCGAGCTGGCTGTCCCCACTGTGTGGTGGGACCCAGAGCAATGCCTGTGCTGGAGACCACGACTTAACCAGGTATCCAAAAGCTGGCCTAGATCCACGGTTATTGAACTGGGGGGGTCGGTGCCCAGTTAAGCTCCCTGTACCCTGAAACCCGAGATTTCCATGAGTCTATGTCCCTGCAGGATGAGAGCAGGTGCACTGCTGCTGATGAATTGGAGGAGGTATTTATGGCTGGGCTGTTGCATGGGGCGGATTCTGCTCCCTGTTCTTGCGGGCAAGCTGAGAGGAGGAGGGTCAGACCGTTTTGGTGGTGCAGTAAGCATGGTGTGCCCGCGGGCCAGCAATCTGCGTGCAAAAAGCTTGCATTTCAGTTGCAAGCTCTCAGAGGGACACCAGTTCTTGTCCTTTAAGCACAGCTGCTAGGCTGAACCCAGGCTCATGACTTGGGTTTAATGGCGAGGCAGGAACTAAAAGAAATGTGTGAATTAAGGCATATTAGGAGCATTAATTTTAGGAAATGAGCTTGCTGCAGGGGCGCAGGCGAAGGCGGTTTGCATCCCGCAGAGGGCACGCAGCTGTGCAGATCCATGGGGCCACTGCTGTGCCCGCTTTATCTCTGCTCCCAGAGCACTGGGCTCTTCTGCTCTCTCCAACAAAGTGGCTTCTCTAGTGGGCAAAGGAGGAGAGGTGTCAAACTGATGCGATGTGGAGATCATCCTTCACTTGCACAGCCCCACAGGTGCCAGGGCAGCGACGCTGGCTGGGCTGCAGAGCTGCTCTCAGGGGCATCTCAGCCAAAACCTCCCAGGGCCCATCCTGCCCTCCCTTTTGGCCAGGCCTGGGGCTCCCTTTGCCTTAGAGAGAGGCAGAACTCTTCCTAGACACGTGGGTGCTGTGGGGAGCTGCAGCCTCGGTGCTGTCACCGGGAACAACGGCCCCTTGTCCCTTTCTGTGTGAGCCAAAGATAGGAGCTGCATTGATCCTGCTGGCATCCAAAGCAGCTGGGATCATCCGCCAAGGCCCGCCTGGGACTCTGCAGATAAACAGCACGTGGGGAGCGGGGCGGGCGGCCGGGCAGTTGGGCTTCTTGCTGCCCCATTGGGCTCCTTTTCTTCTTCTCCCCTTCCCCCTCCTCCTTAGCAGCCTGTTCAAATCCCCCAGACAGCTCCTGGGCACCGCTGGAAGGATCAGCCCAGGAGCAGGACAATAAAATCCCTGACACCACTATTCTAGAGGACGCGGGGGGAGAGGCCCCGCCAGCCGTGTGGGTATAAAGCTGCCCCCTGCTCCGGGCACAGCACCGCAGCACAGTCCTCTGCTCCACTCCTCTGCTGCGCTCCGATGGATATCACCATTCACAACCCCCTGATCCGCAGACCTCTCTTTTCTTGGTTGGCACCAAGTCGTATCTTTGACCAGATTTTTGGAGAGCACCTGCAGGAGTCTGAGCTGCTCCCTGCTTCCCCCAGCCTCAGCCCCTTCCTGATGAGATCCCCCATCTTTCGGATGCCCAGTTGGCTGGAGACGGGACTCTCGGAGGTAATCTTCCCTTCTTACTGCTCTTTGCTGGCACAGGGTGCACGTCCTGACAGGTCTGGAGCCGGGGAGCTGGGAGAGCTGAGAGCTGGGAAGCTGCTTGTAGGTGGTTAACAGGAAAACCCTGGGGAAAAGGGTGCTGTGCTTGTCTGCTCCTCTGCTTTAGGCAAGAACCTCTGCACACTCTGCTAACCACTTGTGACCGCGAGCAAGCATCGTTGTAGCTGTGGGCAAGGAGGCAGATTGAGCCCCGTGTACGCTGCAGATGTCCGTAAGAGCTGATGGAAGCAAAGAAGAAGCCGAATTTCCTGCAAAGCTTTTGCTCCTGCTCCCTCCCAAGAAGCAAACAGCACATGGGCAGCGGGACCCCGGTGCCAGGCAACGTGGGAGCCCGCGGCTGTGGCGTGAAAAGGAGCCTGGGTTGGAGCCACTGCCGAGCAAAGTGGCATTTCCACAAAAACACAGCACCCAAGGGATCCCGAAACAGCCCTCTGCTTGTTCCAGGGGCTGAGCCAGGAGGCACACAGCTCAGATGACCTTGCCCTGTCTGCAGGTCATCTGTCTGCTTGCAAGTAACTTACAGAGCTACTCGGAGTGAGGGGGAAGTGTTTTCTTAATCTTTGCTTAATGTTTCCCTTGGTTTAGTGACCTGGGTCTGGCCATGTGCTGAAGCAGCCACAATAAGCATCACAGGTAACAGCATCCAACTACCACAGTGGAGAAATCTTCACAAATAGCCTAGCAGGAGGAGGAGGAAGCCTCCCAGGTCAAACTGTGGAAACCAGTAAGCCTAGAGCTGGCACTGGGGCTGCTCCACGTCCCAGAACAGAGCTCCAGGAGGCTAGCCTGCTCCTGGCCATGAATGCAGCTGAAAGGCAGAGAATTTGTATAGCAAAGTCCCACTTACTCGTCCAAGACAGGCAATAAATGCAAATTCAACCTCAGCAGCCAGCAAAAAGAGGCGTTTTCTGGAGGTGATAAAGTGCAAAATGGAAGGGAAGGAGATAAGATTAGCAGCAGGTGACTCGGTTTCAGCAGGAGTCCTGCTGCTCAGATAAGAGGTGGGCAGTGAGGCAGCAGAGCTCTCCTGTGGCATTCTATTTTGGTTATTGAAGGGTGACGATACAGGGGGAAGCCTCCAAGTGACACAGATGAGCTGCAGTCAGCTGCACTGTCAGGGTTTCTTCTTCCAGAAAGAGTTAGCAACATCCAGTCGCAGAGACTGGAAACCTCCAGACACTCTGTAGAAAGAACTGGATGTAAGAAGAGTTGGTTTTAACAAATACAGGTTGAGGCAGCCTCTTCCTCACACCCCAGAAAATGTTTATCCCCTGTGACTGAGCCAAAGCATCCCACTGTAGGTGCTGCAGTGATGGGCATTTATGTAGCAAGGGACAAACCCGGCCAGATGAGATCCCCAGGACTGTGTGCTGAGAGCCTTTTGAAGCTGAAACCCTTGCCTGTTCTTTCCTGAAGCCGTCCCTTTATTTTGCAGATGCGACTGGAGAAGGACAAATTTTCTGTAAATCTTGATGTGAAGCATTTCTCCCCAGAGGAGCTAAAAGTGAAGGTGCTCGGGGACATGGTAGAGATTCACGGGAAACATGAGGAGCGCCAGGTACCTCTGCTTTAACTGGGCCACTGGTAGAGTCGGTGTGAGTTTCCTTATCTGGGGTTAAACAAGGAGGCTGCAAACCAGGCCCCTCCTGTGCTCATCTCAAATGCTTCCAGTGGTTTTTATCAATCCAATCCTAACAGAAGATGCTCTGTGCAACCTCTGAGCTGCTCCCAGCCTGGGCAGCAGCAGGGTGGCTTATTGCTGTGTTACACGATCTGTGAACTGAACTGGGAAATCAGCTTCAAAACGGGCATTTCTGGGCCTCCCTCTTTCTGGGCAGTGGCCAGGAATGCAGGGTGGCATTCAATAAGTTAACAGTGAACTGTAATAATTAAACCATGTAATGAATCAATGCACTGCCCTGTTCCACTAGCAGGAGGTAATCTCTTTCTGAAAAAGGCCCATTTAGCACTTTAACCCTAAAAGGTTGTGTTCTGCTGTCGGTCACCCCACTGCTTGCTGGCTCTGGGCACCTCTGCGGCAACTGGGCAGAGAGAAGTCAAAATCCATGTCCAAAGCTGTAGGTAACAGGGATTTCCCACCCCAGAAGGAAACAAATCCTCATGATAACGTAGCTATGCCACTGTGACTGTCAGCTCCAACAGCTTCTGGGAGCCCAGATGGGTCAGTCAGAAAATCCAGCCCTACTTGTAGCTGGTGGGAGCCTGTCTGACGTGGCTTCTGCAAAGATTTTTTGTCTGAGAAAATAATCCAGCAGCATAGCTGAGATCAGCTCACTGGGGATCTGTGTTATGAGAGCCCTAGAGACCCTCAGGAACAGACATGGATGTAGCTCCTGCACCTTCGCAGTGACAGCACGGTGCTGTGCAGTGAAGCCAGTCTCTGGCTGGCACATGAGCTGCAATACAAAGTCTCCCCCTGCAAACAGGGTGCCTGCAGGCACCTGCAGCATGGGCAGGGGAGGCTCTAGCTTCAGCCAGTCTCAGCTCTTTGTAAAGAACATCTCATAATAAAAATTCTTTGAAATTTCTGAGAAGAAATTTCAGCTTTGAGAGCTGAAGCTTCCCAAACGCAGACTTAATGCAAAGGTTTAGGTGGAACTGGGTGACCGCTTCTAATCAGGGCCGTTCCTTCTCTTCTCCTTTTGCAGGATGAACATGGCTTTATTGCCAGGGAGTTCAACAGGAAATACAGGATTCCAGCTGACGTGGATCCCCTGACCATAACCTCATCGCTCTCTCTGGATGGTGTCCTGACGGTTAGCGCACCGAGGAAGCAAAGCGATGTCCCCGAGCGCAGCATTCCCATCACCCGTGAAGAGAAACCTGCCATTGCAGGAGCCCAGAGGAAGTAGGCTGCGATCTAAAGTCACCCCAGGGCCATCCAGGAGCACTTGTCATCAGGTGCCAGCTGTACTGAATGGCCACTCTTATTTATTTATGTTGAGTAAGTTTACTAACAAATAAAACATGAATAAGCAGTTTGTATTTTTTGGTTTTGAGCACTCAGGACAAGGTAAGCATTGGCTCAAGAAGGCCACGTAAGATTGTAGTGCAGGGAAACACACTGGGCATCATTCTTGCTTACAGCTTGAGTGGCAGGCATGTCCAGGAGAGCTTGTCTCGGTGTTCAGAAACACTTTGCTAGCATAACTTCATTTTCTCTAATGTTTTGCAAACATCTAATTGCATGAGCATTTTCCTTCAATGTTTCCAGAAGACTTCTGAGTGTTTCACAAGCAATAGAAGAGTTTCTCCAGTGGAGATTAGGCTGTTAGGACAACTTCGTGACAATCGAAACCCATTCAATGTGTAGGTATTAGATAACAACTGAGCAGAGAACAGCTGTATCTTATATCTCTAGAATGACTCATGTTATGTGGAAGCATCCAAGTGCTGCAATCAGTTTAGAGCAGTTGCAGATGACAACTGCATAGCTGCAGTAAACACAGATACACCCAGAGAGGAGAAAATGCCCTGCTGTCATGGCACACAACACATCACCTTGAAACTATGTTGTCAGTGCCCTTTGAACAATAAATAGCATCTGAAGCCTACAGTATTCATCTGATTTATGCTAACATTGTTGAGTGGTACAAAACAATACTGAGTCTTTCTCACATGTCATCATCTGCTTAGCTTCAAAGAGATGTGAGCAGAAAAGAAAGTCTGTTACTGGAATTGAATTTCTGTGATTTCTGCTAAAAAAGAACAGAATGCCACAGATCTGTCACACAGATCATCACACTCTGCCCTATTTTCTATGTTCCTTATTTCTGCTACGACAAAAGTTGTATTAGAAGAGGTCGATTTAAATTCAGGTGAACTTGTCAGACAGCCTTCTTCCAGGGCTTTAAGTGAAATAAAACAAGCACTCAGTGATGTGGGGTCATCGTCAAACACCCCAAATCACGCTTAAATGCCAAGCTCTAGTTTTTCCTACCAGCCCATTCTAAAAAGCTGTTCCAGTTGTTAGCTGAGTGTCACTGACAAGGTGTTGTGTGACCTCTGTACAGGAAACTCAAAGGTTGCAAACAATACAGCTTAGAAAGCAGGAAGAACATATTTCACATGATTCTATATTTAGTTTTAATGTGCAAGTGTTTTTTTTTTTTTTTTTCTTGAAGGATATCCTTGTAGCACTGCTAGCAGACAGGCCTCCTGTTATTCTGAAGGCATAGTCTGCAGATTCTCTCCACATCTGCTGTATCTTTCTTGTTCCTGCCCTGAATCTGGGACAAGAGCAAATAAATTGGTGCCATATGGAGGCCTGTAGTCTATCATGTAGCAGGACTGTGCAGTTGATTTATATGAAGGAGGTTCCAGTTCAGGCTGGTGGCCTGGAAACCAGTGAGGTTCTCGTCCAAATCCTAAAAGGAGAAACAAAACCAATTTAAGAAAATAGGTGTAGAAGAGTAAGAAGATACCCAGAAAGCAGAGCTGGGATAAATCTTTTCTATAGAGCACGATTTTGTTAGGCTCAATCTCGGAAGCAAGACATGGGAATTTTCAGCATAAACTCTTTGGGGATAAATGTGATGAGGGTGGCTAGGCAGGAACACTTGAAATGAAAGTGCCACTCCTTGCATGACTTGAAAGACCTGCTCTGTGGTGGTGCAGGGATATAACCCAGCAATGAAAACACACCAGTCTGTCACCTCCAAGCACCAATGTGGTTCAGAAGCTCCTCTTTAGCTATGCTACAGATCAAACAGATTATGTTTCGGTTTTGTGCACATACTTCTTGTTCTCTGACGCTTTTCCTTGCTGTAATCCGAAGAGTATGTTGTTTCAAAGCAGTGAGAGTACTGAAAAGAAAAGCTCGCATTTAGCATGGCTAAATATAAGCTAAAAACTCCAGCATTTTGTATCTTACAGGAAGACCAAAGTACCTGCAATTACACTACTGCTTTAAAGACAGTCTAAGGTAAGATCACAAAGCTTGGGTGACTTTTTTTGATTCACCATCTGAGGGCAAAACACGGAACACCAATGCAAATTATTTTGGCTGGGGCCCCTGATAGGAGGAATAAGACTGCAATTAAACGAAAAAGCATTTCTCATGTCTTCTGTCCTGCAGTGGAACAGTTCTTTAAGGGCAAAAAGTGATGGCTGTTGCCTTAAAATCCAGTATAAAAGACTACAAGCAGGGCAGCAGAAGGGAAGCTGCTCATAGGAGGCTTGCCCTTATTACATTCAAAGCTGGGGATGGAAAGGATCGTGCCCTGTGTGCGTGACAAATTAAGTGACCAAAGAACACCTCAGCTGAGGTTTGTTATCGCCACAATGTGGAAAAGCAGAAGCACATACCTGGGAAGGAAGGGGCTTGGGCTGTACAATTTTCTGTATATCGTAGCGCTCCTCATTCCAGTTCCCAATAAGGGTTTTGTTTGAGTAATCATCCTCATTGGTGGTGCACCTCCAGCCATACTGGAAAAACTTAGAAGTGCTGTCCCTGTCTGTCTGCCTTTCCCCATGCTTGAAGGAGCCAAGGAGGGAGCTGTAAAAGTGGTTCTTGGGCATGATCTGGGAATAGAAACCAGCACGGTGAGCAGCTGGGATAGAAGCAGGGTGTAGATGGCTTGGAATGTTGTCCCTTCCTCCTCCCTGGTGACTGCACAGGGACATCCTCCTGCCCCTGCAGCTGTGATGAGGGCATCAGAGGACTGTGTTCATTTTTGATGTGAAAAAGTAATTTTTTTTTTTTTTTTTTTTTTTGGGAGGGGGAGGGGGGAAGAAAGGTGTGGCGTAAGTATAGTAAGCATCTATTTTGATAACAAATTTATCAGTTTCACATGTAACATGGGGCTTCTCAGGGTACTTTACCCACCCTCAGCAACATACAGTAATTCACCCAAGGTCCCAGGGACCAGACCTCATAAACACCACACCAGGTCCCCTACCTGAGCTTGCCTTTTCCTGTTTTAAGCCTCTCAGCGTCACTACCCCTGTGACTGTGAAACCCTCTCCCAGCCCCTTGCAGCAGCTGAGAGAACACAAGGAGCAGAAGCAGCGGCGCAGCGGCGCTCCTCTCCTTCAGCTGGAGCTTGTGGGGGGCCAGGGAATGCTCACAGGGCTCAGCCACAGCAGCCCATGGCTGATCCCGAACCTGGCCCTAATCCCAAACCCAGGCTCGTCAGCAGGGCCTTGGCGGAACCCTCTGGGGTGCAGCCTGGCGTCAGCAGTGAGCGACGCGCGGAAGTGTCGCCAGCAGGGAGCGGAGAGATGAGATGGTGGCGCAGCGCCGGGTCCTGCTGCTGGGGGAAGGCAACTTCTCCTTCGCCGCCTCCCTCAGTGGGGATGCAGGGACCAGCATCGTGGCCACTTGCTACGAGAGCGAGGAGGAGGTGTCCGCACGGGGCAGAGCTGCAGAGAACATCCAGCGGCTGCGGGAGAGGGGTGGGTGGGCGCCGGGTGGTGTGGTGGAGCCCTGGGGTTGTGTTGTGGCTGTGGCCATGCGAGGCTGAGGGGCTGCATGCAGGCCATGTGTGGGCACAGGCCTCGGGGTACAAGGCTTCTGCAGGGCTCCTGTCAGCCCCTCACTGCTCCCAGTGCCTCATGAGATCACTTTTGTCCTGGAGGAGCTGCAATCATCCAAGAGACTAAGTGCCCTCAAGTCGAATCAGGCTGACATAGTGCAAATAGTCAGCACAAGTCTCTGAGACAGAGCACAGGGAGCCCAGGCTTTCTCTTTTTCCTAGTGTGCAAGGGTGGGAAGCTGCCTGTCAACTGCCACTGTGACAGGCTTTAAAATGGACTGGAGAGGGCTGTAATTGCTGCCATTGTTTAAAATATTCCATAAGAAGAGTCTTGTTTTCATCTTTCTTTTAAAGGAGCTGAAGTTATGTTTTCTGTGGACTGCACCAGGCTGAAGGACTATTTCTTCCCAGCAAAAAGAGAATTTGACTGCATTTATTTCAACTTCCCTCATTGTGGGAGAAAAGCTGGGGTAGTGAAGAACAGGGAGCTTCTTTCCCACTTTTTCCATAGGTGAGTAAAACGGTTCAGTGTTAACTGACTGCTGAGATACAGCTTTCTAGCAACATTGCAGGTGTTTTGCAAGAATTAAATACTTTCTGGGTGCACTAGTAGAATTTTTCTTGTTGCCTGCCTTTCCTTCCAGCTGTGCAGAAGTGCTGACGGAGGAGGGAGAGATTCATGTGGCTCTTTGCAATGGACAAGGGGGGACACCTGCTGATCAGCCAAGGAGGGAATGGCACAACAGCTGGCAAATAGTGGCTGTGGCAGCAGGAGCTGGATTTATCCTGAGTAATGTTCAGCCTTTCAAAGCAGAGACTATCCACGGATATAAATGTACAGGCTACAGGTAACTATGATGTGGCAAAACTGAGAGGTTGATATTTGTGCTCTTACAATGCCTGTCACAATGATATATTGTTTTATAGAGAGAAACTCCCTTTAATTTGCCATAAAATAGATGCAGTTCTTTTTTTGTCTGTAAGCAGAACAGCCAAGATGAAACATGAAAGCTTTTTGAGAAAGTACCCTGTAAAAGATAACATTATCTTAATGTTTTAAAGTTCAAAACGGTCCATTTCAGAACAAATGTTAATCCCAGCCTAAAGACAACAGGGGCACTGTGGTGTGTGTATCTGTTTAGGAGACAATCACAGAATCACAGCATCATGGACGTTGGCAGGGACCTCCAGCAATCACCTAGTCTGACCCTACAGTTCAAGGCAGAGCCAAGTGGAATGAGTTGCTCAGAGTCAGATGCAGACTACACAACCTTTCTGTGCAACTTGTTCCAATATCAGACCATCTTCCCAGTAAAAATATGCCAGCGTTACATTTTTGTCATCTCCTAACAAGACATAGAATTCAGCAAGAGGTGTGTTAGTGTTACGCTGAGTTATCTATGTCATGCTCACTTAAGACACATTAAATACAGGAAACAAGCAATGACTTGTCTATGTTTTTATGTATTGCCAGGAGTCAAGATAAATCTTTTTGTATAGAAGGTGCTTTAAACCACATTTTCACACGAAGCATGCCACTTGCGTATTTCAAACCTATGACCTGTGAGATAGAACTGGAAAGCCGAAGAATTTCTTTTCAAGTACCACAAGTACTTGTGGATAAAATTAACCGGTAAGTTTTATAACTGGCATCTATTGGGCAATAACACACGTGCACTTTCAGTGGGAATGAGCAGTGTGGGTCTCAGATAAAATGGAATCACTTCACATTCCCTCCTTTTCCTTTTACAGAATCTATTCCCTTTACAGAAGTCTGTCTAGTGGCGTCTATAATTTGTACTTTTATTTTTCACAGGGGTTTCCTAGAAGTAAATTCAAACCATCCAGTGCAGACAGTAAAGGAGAAGCTCACTGCAGTGCTCAGCCAAGCCTTTCCATTACAAAGCATTGACTACTGCCTTTCTCTGCTCTTCCAAGGTCACCTCAATGGTGTTTGCCACTCTAATATATTCTGGATTGTTCTGAGCCCAGAGGAGACTCCGAGCACTGAAGAAATGGCTAGTGGGCGGGCAAATGCAATTTTATTTTCCCATGTTGATTTTTATAGGGACACAGATGACAATGTACAAGAGGGATGTCAAATTGCAAAACAGTACTGTCTTAGACCTTCCCTTTTACCTCATGCTCAGGCAGTAATAAAAAGTGCAGCCTTTGTCCCTGGGACACTTTATGTTTTTTCTGGCCCAGTTTTCAGGAAGTGTCTTATCTCCCCTTACTCTATGCCTGTTTTTCATGAGATGGTTTTTGTATGTGCAGTTAACAGAGGTACAGAGAACAGCTGTATAGAGATGTTAGTGGATAAAATTAAGAACAGCATACATTCTCTTCACCAGACTGTTTCTGGATTTCCACTGACCATCAGTCTGCAGAAAGCAACGTGCTCTGAAACAACTGAGCTCAATGACTTTGCTGCTTTTGAATCTCAGCTCAGTAAAGTTCAGTACTTCCTCTGCATGGAGGTGGATACTTTAGACTCCTCTGAGAAGTGCTCCTGTGTGGGAGTGATAAGGACAGCTCCGTATGAACTAGCAAGCAGCGATTTCGTTATTGTCTCTGCTTCATTGAATCTTGACCTCATAGCCATGCTGCTCTGTGGAATACAAGACTGGCGCATGCTCTGGACATCAGACACACGCTTCCTCCGTCAGTTTCCTCGAGGAGAGCTAAGGCTTTTCAAGAGTTTTTCCCTCTATCCACCTTCCTATGTGCATGATGTCAGCTTTTGGGTTCCCGATGGGGAACAATTTGATGAGGCTGCTTTTCACACCATTGTTAGGCAGGTATCAGGCGAAATGGTTGCATCCATCCAGTTAATCGACAGCTTCCATCAGTCAGAGACAGGGAGGAAGAGCCTCTGCTACCGAGTGGCCTTTCAGTCCTGTGACAAGGCCCTGAGCCGCCGGGAGGCAGTGGCGATGCAGCTGCTGTGCCGGGAGGAGCTGAAGCAGCGGCTGCGCGTAGCTCTCAGGTAGGGCCATGACTGCCTTCAGGGGCTCGAGTGGCCCTGGGCCTGCAGCTGGAAGACACAGGCTGCACCTTGCAGGGCCCCACACCTTATGCTGCAGGGCCTCTCGCACCAGCAGGGTGGGCACTGGCACCGGCACACACTTTAAATGTAGGAATTTTGTTAATAAAGACCAAGCGCCTTCATGTTCTGTGTGTGTAATGAAACCTTGTTTTTTGAAGCAGAGCCTTTCTTTGCTGGAGTAAACTGATCTAACAGACAGTTGTGCTATGAACACCGTGTTACAGCTACAATAGATGTGGCTGCTGACGGAGAACTGCAATAACAAGCTGGGTTACAGGAAACCCATTGGGTTATCCTGGGTACCAACAGCAGAGGTGGATGCTAAAAGCTCTTTCTTCTCACAACTTTTAAGAGAACCAACTAACCACCAACAACTCATGGTGTCACTGCAGGCATTCCTAGGCTGTGCTGGGAGACCTGCGGCTGCTGCAGCCCCCAGGTAGTTCTACTACTGGTGGGTGACATTGGTGATAAGGGGGTGGTTGGACCAGATATTTTAGAGTTTTTTTTCCAAGTTTAATCATTCTGTGATTGTATACTGGATGTGCTCCTCTGCACTGCAGGCATGGGGCTGAGGGGAGCAGCCTCGCCTCGAGGGGTGCAACTACCACAGGCAGCTGCAAGGGGCTGAGGGGACAGGGCAGGGTCTGAGGGGACACAGCGGGGCTGAGGGGACATGACAGGGTCTGAGAGGACACAGCGGCGGGCGGAGCTCCCCCGGCTGCCCGCGCAGGCGGCGTGAGGCGGTGCCGGGCCGTGCCCGCACCCGGCATGGCGGCCGGCGGCTTCGGCGCCGCTCCCGTCTCGTCCTCTGGAGGCAGGGAGCGGGCTGCCGCCTGCCCGCACTCGGCATGGCGGTCAAGGGGGCCCGGCAGCGGCCGAGGGCAGGAGGAGGAGGAGGAGGAGGAGGAGGCAGCGGCGAGTCGGGCCGGCCGCGCTCGGAGGCGGAGGAGGCTCGGCTGGAGTAGGCGGCAGGGCAGCGGAGGGGGAGCGGGACCCGGCTGAAGGGGAGCGGCGGCCGCCGGGGGGCTGCGGGCCGGGCTGGGCTGGTCTGTGCCGCTTCTGGGGGTTCCCCTCAGAGCCCCCGCTCCTCCCGGCCAGGGGCAGAAGCCTCTGGTTGTGGGTTTTTGCTTCGGCGTGGTGGTGGTGGGGTGCTGGGAGTCCCCAGGGTGGTGGTCGTGAGGTGCTGGGGGTCCCCTGAGGAGGGCAGAGGGTGCGAGAGGCTCCCCGGCGTGCACGGTGTGAGGGGAGAGGGGCTGCTGGAGGTGATAAGGATCAAGAGGGTGATTTGGAAATGTTGCCCTAGAGATGTGGTCAGGCAGTGTGGGGGATTCCAAAATAAAATTATTTCTTGGCCCCTTGGATGGCAGTCAGTGACTTTCTGCATGCAGGTTCTTGTCAGTTCTTTGCCTGCTGTCGCATAACTAGCCTTGATATCGCTAATGAGTTGTCTTGGTGCATATTTATATTCTTTCTACTAAGTTGTCTTGCTGCATATTTGTATTCTTTGTGCTAGACCACCTGGGAGCAAAGCAGGACAAGTGTGGGCCCCTGAAGGATCAACGGCATTCAAGTGTCTCATCTCCGCCAGGTTCTGTGCAGCTCTCCTGAGCAACATCTCAGACTGCGATGAGACGTTCAACTACTGGGAACCAGTAAGTAGCTCTGTGTCCTTGGAGGCACTTGGGAACTTGTAGGTTGTCTGCAGAAATGCAGATTTTCTTAAAACCTTTTGCTAATAGGTGTTTTTCAAGGAGAAACATACTTAAGAATTCATAAGTGGGAAATGCAAAACTGTCTGCTGCGTGATGCACTTCATATATAACTAATATATGTTAATCTCCATTTCAGACACACTACCTCGTTTATGGGAAGGGGTTTCAGACGTGGGAATACTCTCCAGCCTATGCCATCCGCTCCTATGCTTACCTGTGGCTTCATGCCTTACCAGCGCTGTTCCATGCTAGAGTTCTACAAACTAATAAGGTAAATCAGATGCGTCAAAACTGCTTTTTTGATTATTTTTTTTAAAGTGCCTTTAGTTTGAGTAAAACAGCTGCTTTGTTTGTTGTCAGAGTTACGAAATGATAAGTCTACCAGTGCTGACATCCCTGTAAGGATTTGCAAGGGTTTGTGAGCTAACTCAAGAAGAACCAAGGAAGAGTGACTGGGAAATTTCAGGGAAGCTGTCAGGCTTTGATTTGATTGAGAAGTTGTCCCAGAAGGGCTAGTGGTTTCTTGGCATTTTGAGTGTACCTGGCAGCCACAGGCTGCCAGTTTTACTCTGGCACTTTAGAAGGCCCTCTTGTTTTCTACCCCAGATATCAGTAGCTGTTTAGTTTTTTTGTTGTTGTTCAATAGACTGTAAGAGAAAAAATAAGATTTTGCAAGCTGTATTACAAACAGCTCACAGGAATACTTAAAAAAAAAAAAAGGCACCAAGTACACATTCTGCCATACTTTACATGTTTTTACGTGTTTCTGCATAACACGAAACAACGAAGGAGTAGTTCTGATCAGTCTAGTGGACTGTGTTATCTTTCTTTGCTGTAAAGGACTTTAAGGTTAGAGGGTAGGCCTTGAGCTGCTGGAGTTTCAGCCATCCCTTGGTGCAGGATCTGGGCCTGTAAGAGCAGCCTCATTCACTGCTGCCAGAGTTGCTCCATGCTGTTCTGAAATTTTGCAATTTGGTCTCTTGTTAGCAGTAGGTGCATAAGCTTCATTGCAAATCTTGTTCTGATTTTGGATACATCTCCTAGGTTCTTGTCTTCTATTTCCTCCGATGCTTCCTGGCGTTCCTGAGCTGTGTTTGTGAGCTCTACTTCTATAAGTGAGTATTAGAAGCTGTCTACTGTGAATGCTCTTCAACAATGTTAGGAGCATATCCAGTTGTTACCACAGGAAATATACCCTGAAGCTGGTGTGCAAATGTGCCTGAGTTAATTGGGTTGCTTCACAGTGAAACTTCAAGATACATGTTCTCAAAGGAACATAATGAAATATTGGTGAGAATTCTACTGTCGGGACACAATTATATTCTTGGATCTGCCACCCACATCCCTTTAGCATTTTGTTGATTACACTTTTTTTTTTTTTAATGATACCAGCAAGCAGAGTGGGAGAGTAAACTGAGCTCTGCTGGAGGAGACTGGTGCTGCGCTTGCTTATCGCAGTGAATTTTAGTGGAATGTATCAATTGTTGCTCTCTGTAATGTATGTTCAAGCTCCTGCTTTAGTGGCTGTCAACGCCACTGGCTGATACAATTACCTTGACTAATCTGGGCTTTTACTTTTGCCTTCTGCCTCTTCATTTGTGGCTTTCAAACTGTTACAGTGCCTGACTTTTTGCTGGCAACGGACTAGTTTTAAGAGTGTGAGCTGGGGCTTTTTGCACAGTGGGGTTTTGTGATGGGTATGAATCTTAGACTGAGAAGATCTAAAGCAGCACAGACTCCCTGTCTTCTTGAAATTTGTGCAACTAACGCTGGAAGAAGCCAAGTCTGTTCTGGAGTTTTGCACTACTGTGGTTTAGGAGGATCCTAAGTCCGCCTCTGGCTTTACATTTGAGGTTGCTTTTGGCAGCTGAGTAAAGAGAATTGCTCAGCTTAAAGCTCTTGAGATGCTCTCTGGATTGCTTCTGGCTCTGCCTGCATTGGGTACTATTATTTCACATGCTGAGGTTCTTTCAGCAGTTTCTAATTCTCTTTTCTTTCCTTAGGGCTGTGTGCAAGAAGTTTGGACTACATGTGAGTCGGCTGATGCTGGCCTTCTTAGTTCTCAGCACGGGGATGTTCTGCTCATCTGCAGGTGGGTCTGCTGCGGCAATGACCTTGTCCATAGAAGCCAAAGACAGCTGCAGAGAAGAAAATCTGCAGCACCGAAATATCTCTGGCAATCAGCACCCTGTGCTGGAGAGCTTGTTGCATTCTCTTGCAGATGTTTCTCATGGCAGGTGTAATGACAAAGCGTTGATTCAAGTGATGTTCCTTGCATCACCCTAACAATTTCCAGGGCATGTTTATTTCTGTTCTCTACAGTCTTTGTGCTGTGGGCCATGCTTTTTAAACAGGATGTTGGCTGGCCTACATTGAATGTTTATTTGACAGAAGCAGACATTGTCCTCTTGTATTTTGGCATTGTCATCTGCCTTTCTGTCCTATTCCCTGACTGGTACCCTTATGCCAAGCCAACCACTGTAAGGCTGATAAAACACTTGTTGTGGGTATTTAGTGTCAAGACAGGTTTTGAGGAAAGGTTTTCTGTGTTGTGTGCATTACAGAAACTTAAATAGAAATATCACAGGTTGAGTGCTGATATTTCATATTTTGTCCTTTTTTGCTTATGCTGAGTGGAGAAAGGACTTTTCTTTAATTGTTCTCACAAGGTAATAGGCCTCTTCATACTTAACTAACTTCTCACCAGTCTGTACCCAGTTGTTTTTTGTTTTCCTAGGAGATTATAGAGGGTAGAGCAAGTGTTGCAAGTGGCTGTTTACCTGCAACCGTGGATGCTGTCAGCTGGTTACCACTGCTGGGTGCTGTGGGGGAAAGAGGCCTTGGTACCTAAAGGGATTATTTCTGGCCTTGGCAGAACAGTAACAAGAACTTTATTTTTCTGTTTTCACTGACAAGAAAATTGGCAATATAGCAGCCTGCCTCCAATGGGATGAGTGAGATGATTAGCCTTATTTTGGCCTTTGCAGTTCTCTAGCTGTGGGACAGCTGTGCTGAGAAGCCCTTTTTTTCTTTGTGTTGCAGCCTTCCTCCCCAGCAGTTTCTGCATGTACACCACAGTGATTGCCATGACTGGCTGGTACATGGACAAGACCTCTGTGGCAGTGATGGGCATAGCTGCTGGAGCCCTTGTGGGCTGGCCCTTCAGCGCAGCGCTTGGGTAAGGGGAGGAAGGCTCAGGAACTTTGTACTTTGCCAAATGTGCTATGTTGCTTGCCTGTTTGGGGAAAATGTAGGGGCTGGAAAGAAAGAGGAGGAAACTAGCAGGGGCTGAGCAGCCAGCATAGTCCAGGATCACTGTGACAGGCTTCCACAGCCTGATTTCTTTGCTTTTGAAAAGCTTAGCTTGGGAAGATTTTCATGTTCTAATACACTGAAGATAAGATCTGAGTTGGATGTTGGGAATGTGGAGTAGTAGCAGACCCCAGCACAGTGATGGTTTGCTTCCAGCTAATGCCTCATTTGCTCTGGGGCAGAAAATCCTGCAGTGGGGAAGGAATAGTCTCTGGTTGATGCTTGGTCTCTCTTTCAGGCTTCCTATTGCCTTTGACTTGCTAATACTGAAGCAGAGGTGGAAAAGCTTCTTAAACTGGTGTGTGGTGTCGTTGATCCTGTTTTTGGTAAGTCCCTGTAAAAGCACAAAGGGGTGGATTGGGCTTGCAATAGAAGGAGCAGGTTCCATTAACAAAATCACATAGAGCTGTTGGGCAGTCCAGCCAAAAGCTGTTGGCACTCTACAAATAATAGCTGCTTTCTTTCAGGTGCCCCTGGTAGTTGTGGACAGCTATTACTATGGGAAGCTGGTAGTTGCACCCCTCAACATTGTTTTGTACAATGTCTTCACCTCTCATGGACCTGATCTCTACGGTGAGTTGAAGATAAGATGAGGAAGTCGACAGTTTTCTTGCTGCTGTCAAGGCATGGTGACCCTGGAGGTTTTGATCTCTGATCCTTTCTTTGATGTACTCCAAATCAGACACCCTGCAAGCTCCAAGGGGGTGCAGTTCCAGCTTTTTGCCACAGGATGTCTGTCTCGAGCTGGAAATTGGCAGGGCCCTCAGATTTTCTTCTGTCTGCTTCCCCATGCTGTGGTTTAAGCAGCTTTTGTTCACTTGGAAGTTTTGTAAACCATCACGAGACATCTCCGCTGTGATGTGGGGTTGTTGAGACCTGTCAGTAGCAAACTTGTCTGGATGTAATGCGAGTGCAGTGGGAGCATGTGGTCTGTGTGTGCACGTGTTTAGGTCAGCTTTAATCTGGTTCTTGGCTGTTGTTCTTCACAGTTGGGCCCCAGAACTCTGAGCAGCTAGCAACAGTGCAGAACCTATAGTTTCTTCCCGTGCACGTCAGGTCTCTGCAGACTTCCTGCTTCCATGCTGTGGCTTGAGTCTCCTTGCTTATTTGGCAGTGTGTGGCCTGGGGTTGGCTGGAAGGCAGGATCTGAGATTACCATAAAGGCATCTTCCAGACTGCAGAGAAGGAAGAAAGGTTAATTACTACACCTGCTGCTGTTCTGGCAGTCACGCTGGAGGCAGGGCCAACTCGACTCACGCAGACAACACTTGAGCTCCCCATTTCTTTTGGATGAACGAATGGAGGAGAAAACCATCTTTCTGAAGACTGATAAATTAGTGACAAGTAGTGATAACAACATTTTGTCTCTCCTTGCTGTCTTCTTTCTATAAGCTCTTTTTTTTTTTTTTTTCTTCATAAGCAATGTAAGAATTATCTCTACTTCCCAGAGGAAGAGCTGAATACAGAGCAAGGAAACTGCCTTACTTCTGAAGGGGGACAGTGGGAAAGGCAGGATTAACATTTCATTTTATGTAGTTTTATGGTAGCAAAAAGTGAGAAGAAATGCAGAAAAGTTTCAGACAACCTGTATTTATAGAAATCATTGCCATGGGAAATAACTAAGCTGGTGACTTCAGTAGTATCCCAAAAGGAATTAGAAATAATTTATGGATGTCAAGAGGAATCCAAGTTGTCATCAGTGATACCTAATTAGCAGGCAAATCATCTGCCTTTCAGGGGTTTCTGGGAACTGGCCATTTGGGATGCTGGGTGAGTTACAAGGTCTGAACCTTGATGGCAAGGCTGTGGTGCTTGTTTGGGAGCTACTGCTGCACTGGGTTGTTCTTGTTCATGTTCTTGATGTCTCCTAGATATGAAAAGTAGCAGAGCGTTATGTTTCTAGGCTTCAGAGGGCTGGTGGTGACCTCAGGGAGCTTAGGGTGCAAGGTCTCTGATGTCTGTCATGTTTTTTCAGCCCCGTAAAGGTATGCAGGGAGGAATTGAGCCGTGGTTAGTGGTGAGGCTTTCTGGCAGTGCCCCACAGGCTGTATTTGGTGCTTCATTTGAAGGGCTGTTTTGGGTGATGCTGAGTGGTGATCTGTTCCTCGTGCTATGGCACAACATGACAACAGATGCTTTGCCATGGTCCTTCATCTCTTCAGGAAGGCTCTGAAGTCTGTTGCTGTGAATTTTCTGTAATGGAAACTCCAGGCTCTCTTTCTGATGGGTTTTGGCGTGGGCTCATGCCTGACCTTTTCCACACTGGTGCATGAGTTGTTTCCAGCAGCCTCCAGGGACCAATCTATTCTGAAGTGTTTTATTCATAGTGACATTCATATAACATCCTCAGGCAAGAAAAAGAGCCTGCTTGAACCTGCTCTTTAATGCAGTGTGGCCAGGACAATAGCGTGTGTTTGGGGAGCTTCAAAACACTTGGGGAAAATAACACTGCGAGGGGAGATGAAAGGCTGGCCAGTGCCTTTTGGCTTTGGAACAGGGATTTCCCAACTTTCACATGATTGGAGCAAAAGCTGCTGGAGGTTGCAGAATACTCAACCTATATCATCTTTAGTGTAAGCACCACAGTTTTTATTTTTATTTATTTATTTATTTTTATTTTTGTGGTTTGCATGCAGACTGGAGTCCTGAAGAAAAGGCTTTTGGAATGTGTACTTTCTGGATTAATACAGTCTACGCAATAAATATTTCCCTGGGATGGTTATTAGGTTTCAACAGCCAAGGAAAAGTAGCTGCTAAGCATATATCTCTGTCTGATTCTGAGCCTTTGGGGTATTTTTGTGTGCCTGTGTCTCAAAAACACTCAATTCACAGCAAAGGTTTTCCTCCAGTTCCTGAGATCAGAGCCTGGGCTCTGACTTGCCTTGTGATTGCACTCAGGGAAGTTCTGTTCAGCTCAGGTGAAATGTGCTGGAGCTGTTTATGTGACACCTTGCTCTGTTGAGTCCTGGTTCTTAAACAGAAGGAAAATAAATGAAATGCTGAAAGGAGACTGTTTGTTATGCTAGGGCTGAATCAGTCTTGCTTAGAATGAGGGCTGTGACTCATGATCAAAGTATTGTGGTTTAATTTCTGCTTAACAGCTGAGCTACAATGCCGGGCTGTATGTAGGCTTTTAGCCTGTGACAGACACGAGGTGAGGGCCACCTTAGCTGGAGCCAAGTGCATAACACCCCTGCTTTGTCCTGAAGCAGCCTCACCATCGCCGGGATGAAGCCGCAGCATGGCAGTGTGTTAAGCTCTAGCAACTTCTCTGTAGTTTGATATCCAGAAGTGCTCCTGAAGCCTGGGACAGAGCATGAAGTTCAGAACAGTTTCTGGCTCAGTGTCTGACACTGCTTCCAGTTGTTCTCCTCATGGAATGGTAGTACTTTGAGCTATGGCTAGGGCAGGGTCTCCTGAATGGCTTCAGCATCTCCTGCAGCCCACATCTGCTCAGCTCTGGCATGTGGGGTGCTTACAGGAAGCTAAATCTTCTGCCATGGTCTGAAGGTGATGCTGTAGAAGCATCAATCTATTCCTTGAAGATTTGGGACTTGGCTGTGCTGGGCAGCTTACCCGTAGCCTGAAAATGCTGGTGGGTAACAGTTCACATCAGTTTAAGAGAGCTTCTTTCTCATGATGAGATCTTCTGTGATAAAGCAGTCACAGCTTGTAGTGGGAGTAAGGAAGCAGACTGTGGTATCCACTTATAGCATGTTTGTTTTTATAGGGAGAGACCTTGGTGCTCTAAAGAACTTTTAACTAGTGTGGCCTAATCATTGTTAACCCTTCTGGAAGTCCTTAGAAACCTGTTGTGTTGCCTCAGAAGAGAATCTGGAGGTGGCATGGTTGAGGAAATAAAACCAAGCCCTCTTCATACACGCTTGTAGGTGTCCACTGGAAGATGTACAGCGTGATACCCCACTGCCTCAGGATTTCCCTTTACAGACATCCTGCTCAGCAGCCCTGATTTCAAAGGAGGGAAACATGCTGCAGTTCGCGTCCATTGCTTGATCTTTTAGTCTCCTGTATCCCATATGCAGGCTTCTAGACTGAGGATTGTACTCCTGTGGGACTTGAAAGAATTAGGCAGGTGGAGGGAGAAAGAAGGTGTTTTTTTTTTTTTTTTTGTTCCCTTAAGGACCCTTATTTCCCAAAACCTGAACCTGTAATTGCAGTTTGCTTTCAGTGCTAACAATGAAATGTTTTGTACATAAGTATCAGTTGCTTGGACTTTGCTGTAGTAACTCCAGCTTCATGTTTCTGATGTTACTAGTGCAGCTTCTAATCATGTTTAACCATAGGAGCTGCAGAGGTTTTGGGTTTTCCTTGCTGCTTTTCAGTTATCTGATTAATTTCAACATGGACCCTTTTCAAGTGTCTCTGATTGCAGGAAATTGCTGTGGCATGTGACACATGTCACAACAGTGCAGTGATTAAAGCCCCCGCATGTCATTTACTGACTGATTGAGCTAATCACGCTGAGAAAGTGGCAAACGTGCAGAGAGGAACTGGCGTTCCTTATTGTTTGGGATTTTAAGCATCATGAATTAAAAGTCAAATAAGTGACAGCTGGAGTGGAATTCATCAGTTTGCATCCTTTGAAGCTTGCAACCAGTACCCAAGTATGTAATCTTAGGAGGTGGAGTTGGCTTGCTCCTGTTAAAACGTATTGAAGCAGGGAAATTTGAAGTGGTGTTGACACTAAGGAGGTACCAAAACCTGGCGGCTGGATGAACGGTGGTGGCAGAGTCTTTGGGGTGAAATGTGAGTGTGAGCTCTTCTGCCATTTTCTGTTTCTGCTGCCACAGCTTGTACATCGCCACTTCAGAATGACAATTATCTCTTGTTAACATTAGGTGGCTTTGCATTGTATCTGTTGCTTCTCTGCAATTAGAATGAATTTGGAGAATTTCCTGGCTTTAGGGATTACAGCCTCTTCTTTCTGCGGAGGCTCTTAATGCGAGGGTGAGTTTTGTGTTGCAGAACTGGTTGCTGGACAAGGCTGACTGTTAGAGTTGCATTTGATACATGAGCAGCAGATGTAAAGTTTACTGTGACCCGATAAAAAAAAAAAAGGAGAGAAAAATAATTTCAGAAAAGAGAACAATCTTCTGTCCATGCCCTTTCCATTCTGTGGTTTCAGTATGTTTGCAGTAGGGAGAATTGATGTCTGCTGCTGCTTCTGTCTGTGTTGGACAGAGAAGGAATGAAGCTGCTGTGACATCCAGATCTCAAACATCCTTATGTTCGAAAACTTTTTCTTTTTTTTCCCTTCAGGTACCGAACCCTGGTCCTTCTATTTCATCAATGGCTTTCTGAATTTCAACGTGGCATTTATTTTGGCGCTGCTTGTGCTACCGCTGACTTATCTGATGGAGTGCCTGCTTCAGAAATTTCATGGTGAGTGCAGGATAGCTGTGAGAGCTGAGCACAGAGAGCCCAGATTGCAAACCTTGTTAGTAAAGGCAGAGCTTGTCTGACAAAGAGCAGCTTGCCCTTATTGGAAGTGAAACTAGGCTCAGGGAAAGTTTTGGGAATAATAGCGCAGTTCCTAGAGCTCATTACTCAGCTCAGTATTAACCACACAGTGGACTTACTGTGTAGAAAGAGGAGGCAGTGAGATATATCTACTGTGCTGTCTGCAAAAGGGCAGGAATGTGCCTTTTTCCTTTAAGGGCGATTCCTGTGTTTCCTGTCTTCACCTGAAGAAGAACATCGTGTTGTCAAGGCTAAACTGTCCACACACAGAGTGAGCTTAACAAGTTGTACAGTGTATGTAACCTTCAGCCAGAAATACCAATGCATTAGCATTATACCAATGCAGTAGCCCTGTCAGAGCTCTAAGGTGAGGAGGAACCACGTACCCATGGCTGTTTCCATCTCACCTGCAGCAGGAAATGGCAGCCTTGCTGCCAGCTTCCACTGTTACTTTTTTTATCTCACTGCCAGGACGTTTACTGCAATAATTGGGAGAACAGGGCTGGCTTTAGGCTTTTTCATTGCTGGGGCTGAGCCTGCACAAATGCATTCTCTGGTCTGTGCTGCTGCCAACATAGGGCTTGAACCTGGGCTCTTCTGTGCTCTGCAACTTGCAGAACTGAGTCCTCTGTACGGAGGGTAGAGAAAGGAGGAGCTAGAATATTCCCTGCTTCATTATGGGGCTTTCTCCTAAGTAAAATGACCTCAGTTTGAGTACGTGATGTCTGGCAAGTGACTGTAAAGAAGATGTGTTGAAAGTGTGGATGTTCCTTTGCTGTTTCCCAAAGGAAGATTCATTAAGTGTCAGCTGCACCCGCCGGATTCATCAGGCCAGTCAGGGCTCTACTCTGGATTTTACTGAGTACAAGAAACAATAATAACATAAGCCTTGCTGAAAACGGACGTTAACGGGTATTTGCTATCTGTCCTTTGGATATGACTGACATACTGTCAGAAACCAGTAAAAGCTCAGCAGGAGATGCTGTAAATGCAAGATTTCCAGCTGTTCACTTGGGGTTCTTGTTCTTAACAGCAGGAGCCACTCTACTGAGTGCCTTGCTCTTATTGTCTGCGAAATGCTGTTAGCTTAATTGTTTAACTCTTCTGTGGGGAGTAGCAAGGGGGCAGAAAAGGGATTGAAAATTGTCAGGTGCTGTGGAACCCTCCTCAGCGTGACTAAAATTCAGGGTAATTGTTGTTATTTTTGAATCGGTTATTTCCTGTGTTGAGCAGAAGGTGCCTGAGAGATCTCTCGTGCTGTTACTTTTGTAATGAAGCAAGGAAGGTTGTGGAAATGCCAGTTGCCAAAAAAAACATTTGCAAGCAAGGGATAGATCCAGAGGCGAATCTTCCTAATCTGGGTTGTGCAGCACGCTACACAGTGGGAAATCCAGAACTTCCCACTACCTGTTTAGATGGGCCAGTTCTGGATGGATTCGGTCATTTTGGATTCAGCAGCCTGATCATTATTCACTGTCTTTTAAAATCTGTTGAGTTGTGAATGTGAGAAGTGATAATGCACCTGGTGGGTGTGTGTACGAGCAGGAGTAGGATAAACTTCTGATTACATTGCTGCTCTGCTGAGTGTGTATTTCTTCCAGTTCAGAATCTGGGCCGTCCCTACTGGCTGACGCTAGCTCCTATGTACATCTGGATCGGCATCTTCTTCAGTCAGCCCCACAAAGAGGAGAGGTTTCTCTTTCCCATCTATCCCCTCATATGTCTCTGCAGCGCTGTAGCTCTGTCTGCTCTTCAGGTAAGTTTGTGGATTGAGAGGTTTAGTACTTTCAGTGAGCTCATACCTTTAGGAAGCTGCTGGCTCGATTCTTTAACGTCGCTTCCCAAAGCTGTAAATTGATGTAACAGCAAAAATATTTGGGACTTCCTTCCCCGAGCATCATACGGAATGAACTAATCCAATAAGCTTGGCCTTCAGTCCAGACTTCTTAATAACCTGTCTGGACTATTAAAATCATTGTCTGGGATTATATCAAGTGGTAAGCAGTCAAGAATATTTCCTTAACTAATTATTTCGTGGTGAGTTTTAATTCTGCCATTCTCCGTGGGTGAGCTGCTGCTGAGGAAATCTTGTGATGTTGCAGCACCAACGCAACATCTGAGGGATGTCACAAGGATTAGTAACTTGGTTATAGCATCGTGGCTTCTTCGTCTGCTGTTAAACAAGATTTAAGGGATGGGAATTTGAGTGTGTATAGGAAATGTTTGTGTCTTATTTTTTGTATCCTAGTAGGAATCTTCACTGATTTGAAGAAGTATTCTTGTTTAGGCATCAGGAAATTATTTGGGGCATTTGAAGAGCCAAAAGTAAAAACCAATCTCAAAGCTTTATAGAGTAAAGCATTCTGAATTGATGTAAACCTTCCCAAAGCTCAAAATTACGTCTCTCCTCTGCGAAAGAGGCACAGGAATGCAGTCACTTGTCCCTGCTGGAGCCCACGGCAGCTGTTCTGCCATGACCCGTCTGTCCTGCTACGCCCCACTGCTGGCTGTTCCTGTCCCGAGCTCCCTAGCTCCCTGCTGGTGTCCCCTGCATCCCTCAGGCACTCAAACCCCCCCCCCCCCCCCCCCCCCCCCCGCCCAGCTAGTTGCAGCTCTGGCTTTTGATTTCCCAGCATTGTTGATGCTTTGCAGAGCTAGGCTGGAACGGTTCAAGGATTGAGCTCCATAATGTCAGTGTTTTTGTCTCTGGCTGAGAATTACTGTGTGCTGTCAAAAGATTGACTGGAGGGCAACAGCTTAGGATATCTGTCAAACATGGCTTTAGGAAACTCTAGTGTGTATTTCTGTAATTCATATTTTGACATTTTGTCCAGTATTCAGTATCTAGCTGAGAATTTAATTGAAATTCCTCTAATCGTGCAAGCTTGTCAGAGAATCCACTGAAAAAAAAACAACATGACAAAACCGTGTAGATTTGGCTATTGTGAGAAAAATGCAAACAAGGCAAGGGGAGCAGAAACCAGGTTAGGACATAAAGTGAATGACAATTCCTGCAGGAAGGCAGAACGTGGGAAGGGACCGAGCCAAATGCTCAGTGCAGTTCCTCCTGGCTCTTCCTAGGAAGGCTTTTACATTAGAAAAACCTAAAGGGCTGTTTCAAAGCTGCCTGCGTTTAGGGGTGTCTGTAGGATGTGCTGTTATGTTCCTTTATCCACTCCAAAGCTGTAGTTTGTGCAGGTGGGGCACACTCCTTTACTTAGGAAGTCTGTCCACCGTTAAAAACGGGAACAGCCTGTGTAGGGAATCCTACAGGACGCTTCTGAAAGAGATTCTAGCTGTTGGTTCACCTGGGACCAGCCAAGGTGGGGCCCTGGCAGAGGGAAGGCACTTCACAGCTTGACTAGAGGCCGTCCTAGGGCAGAGAGCTGAAAAGATTAAAGAGATATGAGATGTGACTGAACCATGTGGCTTTCTGTGTAATTTTGCGGGCCTGAATGAAAAAATGAAGTCCCAGACCAAAGAACTGGTGGGAGATGCATACGCTGCTTTAACGTCCTTATGAAAAACATGATTTTGATAAAATTTCAGAGTCTGAATAACTTTGTCGTCAATTTTTTCCTTTCTCAGAAGTGTTACCACTTCGTATTCCAGCGCTACCGCCTGGAGCATTACACAGTCTCCTCCAACTGGTTGGCTCTGGGGACTGTTTTTCTCTTTGGCCTTTTGTCACTGTCACGCTCAGTTGCCTTATTCAGAGGTGGGTATTTTAGACTGCTTCTGTGGTTTCTTGGGCATCAGTCTTGGCAGGTCTTAAGGCCTGCCAGAGTTGTGCTGCTTTGACTGTACCAACACAGGAAAAATATGGCAATCTTGAGTATATGGGTGTCATTGTTGCAGGAAAAGGAATAAATACTAATGGTGTCACCATTAATGAATGTGTACGTGTGTGTGTGTATGTATATATTACTAGAATTAATCAGTTAAAAATCTGCTGCTCTTCACCTTCAGCCAGTACAACTATAATGATGTAAAATGTGCACCTAGACTTGTATTTAGGCAGATACTTACAACTTGTAAATGTATGATCCCACTTGAAACAAACATTTTCGCGTGTAGAACTGTGAGAATTGGTTGCATTTCTCCTGAGTGGAGATGGATTAAGTATGGCTGTGATCCTTAAGTGCCTCCTTGGCTCACAGCCATGCAGCGAGCCTTCCCACCTCATCAAAGTTAGGTAGCAGCAGTGGTTTTTGCGTGGTAGTAGCCACTGACAGTCAGGAGAGGAGAATGGGAATAAAGGTTTTACAGTACAAACACCTCTAGCATGTTGAGGAGCTTTAAAGTCCAGCTGCTTCTCAGCTTAGACAAATTATTTTATTCATTGTTATCAATTTTTAAAAAAACAACAACATATATATATTTTTATTTATAGTCTTTCCAAATAAGTCATTAAAAATTGTCTATTTCTTCGGACTTACTTACAAATTCCTGCCTTCCATAGGCTACCATGGGCCTCTGGACCTGTACCCAGAATTTCACAGGATCGCTACTGACCCGAGCATTCACACTGTGCCAGAGGGGAGACCAGTTAACGTCTGCGTGGGAAAGGAATGGCACAGATTTCCAAGCAGCTTTCTCTTGCCAGAAAAGTAAGTTTTTTAATGTAAAAGATATGAGTTTCTGACCTCCACAAGGAGGGGCACTTCACGTAAGAAGGATTTATGGGAGTAACCTTCAAGACCTTGTATGTTTGTCACCAGCATATCCACAACAAACGGTGTACAAGTTTGGTGTCAGCAGATTGTTGGTCACAAAGTAAATATGCAGTGTGACTGTCCTAGCAGTGCTGTCTGCCCTCAGGAATGAAATGTCCTGGGTTATGCTTTTGGTTTTCTCCATGCTAACTGCTACTAGCTCCTGCAGTTTCCTGCCAGGCTTTCTGACGCTGTTCTCTGCAGTTGGCAGCTCCAGTTTATCCTGTCGGAGTTCAGGGGCCAATTACCAAAACCCTTTGCCAAGGGACCAATGGCCACACGAATCATTCCCACTGACATGAATGACCAGAACAAGGAAGAGCCATCTCGATACGTAAGGATGCCGTTCCTGTTTTCTTTCCCTTACCTTACCACTTATATTAATACAGTGCCTAGAATTGTGGTTGGATCTCTCCATTTTGTGTCCCATGTCAGTACCATTACAGAACAAAAACGAGCTCTCTACAGCACTTTGAAACTTCCCCATTTGTGTGAGTCTGGTTTCTGTTTGCGCTTCGTCTCCCTATTTTTCATTTGAAGAGGTTAAAAAAAATGAGTAAGAAGTAATATTTCCTAGTCACTGCAGTTTGGGGCTTGTTATAATGTTACTGTGATTACAGGAAACTGACCTGAATTAGTTTGAAATCCCCAGCAGAAGATGTTTGTCACTGAGCAGGGATCAACATTTCCTTAGTACTTTTCTTTTAAAATACAGATATATTAATCATTTACAACAGAAGAGGAACTTAATTTGGAAATCACAGAAACAGTTGCAACAGTGATTTTCATGCGAAGCCATTTGTGTATTACTGTCATGCATTACTGACTTGTTACAACTTTTTCTTGCTTTATCTAAACAAAAAATGTCACATGCATATGAGCATATGAGTGTTTTCCAAATTATTGTTAGCTAATTTCTCTGGAATTATTTAGCAGCTTAAATCTTAGTGGTGTGCTAAATATTAGGTATTTAGTTATCATTCTCTTTTTTGCCTCAAGGGTGAATGAGGGGAACTGTCAGTATATGCACAGTCCTTTTTTCATCGTCTCCACAGCTGGAGAGCTGTGCTTTGTCCATCAGAGTCCAGGAAGCACTTGTGTGCAGAGCATTGGGTCTCTGCTTTACCTGAGAGGGTGGATCCTAGCTGAAGACAATGGACGTGCACTTTTTTATTAAGTTTTTCACATTTTTGGCCTGTGATCGAACACTTGTGATCTCCTCAAAGAAGCGGCTGGAAGGTAGCACTGTAAGACAGGAGCCAACTGTGTGGGTAAAAGCTGAGATCAATGTGCTGAGTGAAAGCTCTCTTCCTTGGAGCTGTTATGTACCTATGGAAGTGGGAAGGAGGTGTGTTCCCACCTGAGAGATGCTGTCTGCAGCAGTGCATTCCCTTTACAGTTTATTTCAACTGTGGCGTATTTTTAGCACAGACAGCTGGCTGGCGCAGAGCCTGTGACTAACAGAACAAAATACACTTTTGTTTCATGGCTGCTCCTTAATGTCACCCTCCAATTTTGCTATTTCTCATGCAAAAGAAAGGTCCTGGTACATGTTTAGAAACTGGCTACTTCATGTGAATTTTAAACAGAGTTTTAAAACTTTTGCTTCTGAGCTGTTAATACCAAGAAAACACGATCTTGCCTCAAGTTTTAAGCAGCTTTTAAGGACTGCAGGCATACCCACATGAAGAAAAAAAAATAATTGAGTAGGCTCTAGAAAGAACCATCATAGCAAACAAATACAAACAGTATGAGTCTGTTGGCCCCTTAAAGGGGAGAAAATGGTTCAAAAGAATTGTCAGAGCCATGGACAGCTTAAAACCAATGAGTGTTTGCAGAAATGAGGCTGAACTCGGTGTTTCAGCTGTAAGCATCTATTACTGCCCTGCTTGAAAACTGAAGTAAATTGGAGTGTTTCTGTTGCTGTGGGACACTGGGGGGGAAAAGTCATTTGACCTTCTTGTTTTTGCAATTCTTCCTGAATCAAGTTGAACAGCACTGAGCTTGTACTTGTGCTACCGGGGAGGTGGACCTGTCTCTCAAACTGCTAAGGAGGAGTTTTATTTCTTACAAAGGTATCCAAGCAGGGACAGTAGATTTAGGCCTAAAAACTGAAATGGTTAAAACTCCTGACTTGAAGAAGGTGTTCTTTTTTTAACCACTTTACTTTTGCTTCTTTTCCAATTCCTTTTGCCTCTCTTTTGAGCTGCAGGAACCACCTGAAGCTTGGGTGTATATTTTTTTTTATTTGAGCGTTTTCAGTAGAACATCTTTCTGCTTAAAACAGTTGAACTTTCCATGGTAAACCAGACAAGCTCCTGTCTTTGCTCATTGTGCCCAGCTAACTCCTACCCAGACACCAGTGACAGACGTACAGCAACAGGCTGTGCCCTCAGCTCCATCTCTGTATTACGTTGTCCCCTCCTGTACTGTGTTCTTCTTGCAGCAGCAGAAAGGAGATCTTTCACCTGTCAGATAATTCGTAAGCTTCGGAGATGCCAGCCCTTTCAAGGGGGAATGCAGAACAAAAGAAGTGAGATTATTCTTAGTGTTGGAGGCAGCTAGTTTTTTCTCCACGAGATTCTACATAACTTACAGGAAAATCTTGGTTAGTGGTTTGGGAACCTTTGCTAATGAGCCAGAACCTCTCTCAGGTCCTGGGATGTTCTGATACAGTGCAAGAAGTGGCTTCAATGTTTTCCTTGGTGTAAGTTTCCCATGGTGTAACTTCCTCTGCTGCTCAGTTGTGATGCCACGGAGTCATCTGGCATCCACTTAATTAAATTGTTTTCAGCCTTTAAATTGTAATAATAAACCCCAAAGTTGCTTCAGAGGAGCAAATGCAAGCATGTCTAAGGAAGTTTGTGGAGTGAAGTGAAATGTGGAATCCCTTAAAGGAAGAGTTTGAGGGCGTAAGGCAAAATAAGACGTGGTCATCCTGGAGAATGTTTGGTTCCTTTCAGCTGCTGGCATTTAACATAACGTGGGTAGTAGCAACCTCTGATGTGCATCTTAAAGGACTTTATCAGAGTCCTGAGTCTTTCCCTTCCACCAGTCTGCTGCTCGGACTGTTCGTAGAAGAAATAAATCTGGAGCAGGCTGTGATTTTACAAATGCCAGTGATATGGTCTTGCCAGAACTTCCCCATAGCCTGAGCATTGATGATCCTGTGTGTGGGAAAAGGTGATGTTGCAACCTACAGTCTGTGCAGGGCCCCTGAAGAAGGAACCAAGGCCCAAGAGTTCATGTAACCAGCTGAGCAATTCTCTACACACTGTGTGATGCTGGGACCATGGAGCCTGGTTTTAGGCAACAATTCAGCACACCTTTATTTATGCTGCTGTCTTCAGGGGAAAAAACAAACAAACAAACAAACTTAAAACCAGTATACATTAAGATGCATGATGAAAATTCTTAGCCTAGCAAAAAAAAATCTCTTTACAGGTTGCTCCGAGTCCTGAATTCTCCAGAAAATGAGTGGATTGCTCAGTGAAAGGTGTCTTTGTTTATACCTGAGAGTGGGGAGGAGGCACGTTAGAAGTGTGCAGCTGTCTTCTTGTTGCGATTGGGAGCTCAAACACAGGCTTGGCAGCAGCAGGGTTTTCGGGAGGAGGCTGGCCGTACCTTTCGGTTGCTTGCCAATTTCCTTGTTGTTTGCTGATCTAATGGGAGTGGGATTAGGTGGCATGGAGCTGCCTGGCACTCTGCTATCTCTGTCCCCCTGGCTGCTGGGATTGGTGGCAGCTGGAAACTGAGATACAGCGGTTGGGAACTCTGTATTTTTCCAAAATGCCCATGTTAAGTCTTTCATCTCTCCTTTGCATTCCACGGGGATGAAACATCAGCATGGCTAATGAGACTATTGTTGGGTTGCGATTATTTATTAATCAAAAATTACGCTCTGTCTTCTGTTGCATGTAACCTGAGGAAAGGCTTTTGGTTATGTCTTTTTCAATATCTAAACATACGTATTCGAGTTCCTTCATGTCTGCCAAGTGGAAATATCCAGTTTACTGAAGGACACAACCAGTAATTACTGGGATGTACTGTACTCCACTGGTGCCTTTTCCCAGAAATTTCAAAACACCACTACATCTTAATATGCAACGCTTAATAATGTACCAGTGGCAGAAGTGGGAGCTGTTGGTCCCCTTTGGCAGTTGGGAGCACTGGCGTGCTGCGAGGAGGGATCGCAGACCAAAAAAAGCATCCAAGGGTTCTTGGTGTTCTCAGTTCACAGAAAGAAACATTTGAGAACGGATGTCCAGATGAATCTTATCGGAAGTGGAACGAGGGCATAAGACAGTTGCAAGCATCAGTCCTGGTTGATTTCTAGTGCCCCTGAGGTCGGTGCTGCAAGCTTTTGGCAGAGAACTCAGCCAGTGCCAGATGTGAGGATGTGTGACCCTTGGCTGACAAAACCTCCTGCCAGCAAAACAGCCAAGCACAGGGGCAGGAGCTGGCAGAATGTGCTTTTAGTGGCCAAAAGCCCTTATGCCAGGGAAAGCTCAGCCTTGCTGCTGTACCTGAGTCTCTGGGGTGCTTGTTTGCTCTCGAAAATGACTTGGGGTGTCACTTGAAGACAGCTAGGCTCTTAAAGAGGGAGGATGTCAGCTCTCGTTCACACACCTGTCCTGCCCTCTGGATCTTTCATGCTTAATGCAGAGGTTTCTAGACAATGGAGCTTCTTGTTGGGCTCCTGTTGTGAAGCTTCTCTCACATCTGGTGGTTGTTAAAGGGAAATTTGTCCTGATAGGAGCTCAACTCTCCTCAATAGCTGAGAGTTGGTGTTCCTCTCAGCAGCTCGCATGTGTGTCTGTAGGGGAAGATGTCAGGGGTGGGGGGAACAGGGCAGGAAGAGCGAGCCATGAGCTAGGAGGGCCATAGCCCCAAATAAACGAGTAGAACAGCCTGCTTGGATCCATGAGCGCTCTTCCCCTGCAGGAAGGAGCAGATTGAACAATGCGAGTCTCCTGAGGACAGTGCCCACAGCCCATTTAGCTGCGAGGTCACACACAGCTTATTGCTTCCTCAACTACATTTTCATAACTTGGCCGAGTGTTACCCAGCACTGTGGCCAGGGCACGGCAGTTCCTTGCATCACGGGCAGCTGATAAAGGCATGACTGCACTGACAGCAGCCAGTGTGGTCCAAGAGGTGCAGCATGATGCTCATCTGCTGCGAGGGGCACCGAGGGTCATTGCTGCTACAAACCAGGTTATTCGTGCACCAAGCCCAGCATGATTTGTGCCAGACAAGAAGCTTACTCTGGCAGAGCTGCTGGCTTTGCATGATTCTGCTCAAGCCCTGCCAGGAGATGACAAGACCAGGACAGTGAGGATTGTGGAGCTCGTGTGATCAGTTATTGGGTAATCCATGCTGGTCTATGCATGCTCTGAGCTAAACGCTCTGGAAATGTGTGTGCCTGATTGTAAAAACACTTCCCAGGAAGGTTTGGAAAATCAGCTGTGGAAGGGGATTGCTTTTGCTGAAAATCAGCAGACATAAAGATGTACTGGGAACTGTGAAAGTCTGTCCTTTTTAATCAATGATTTGCAGGGGGTGAAGAATAATAGGCAACATAGTTATTAAATTGCATTAGATCCAGCGTGGGAACTAGAATTCCGAGTTATTGTGGCAAAGAGGAGAAAGCAACTGAAAAAGATGCAATTCAGCATGAATGGTGCACTGCAGAAATAACCAGGTGTCCGCCTGTGGGATGAGGAGCAGCCTGCTATGCACAGGTCCTTCAGGAAAGGATGGAGGGCTATGATGAATCAGAAGCTGCTTCCGACCCAGTAAATACCCACGTGTTAGGGTATTTGCAGAGGATCTTGTGTGACTCGTGTTTTGCTGCTTGGTATGGAACATCATGAGCGTGCTGCCTCCCAGTTCGCAGTCAGGATGGATGTGACTAATGGAAGACATTTCAGAGCAGGCCCATGAGAATGATCCCAGGGGTAGCAAGCATGGCTATAGAAGGAAGAGTGAGTAAAAGAGGGCTGCTGAGCAGGCAAGCCGTTTTCAGATAACAGAGCTCAAGTATGTAAAAAGAATTCAAAAAAAAAAAAAATTCCTTGTTCATAGTGTAAAACAGGTAGGAACAGGCAAAAACTAAGAAAAGAAAAAATTCAGTTTAGACATCAGGAAAGCTTTCTAACAATAAAGATAGTCAAGTCTTCTGCCTCGGGACCTTGTGGAGTCAGCATTGTAAGAAGTTTTCAGAAGCTTTTTAGAGAACCACAAGGCAAAATACCAGCAGAATTGTTCTACTGCCTCAAATTCCCCCCTGTGAGTTGACCGTTCTTTGGTAAGAGAGCTGGCAGCGGTACTTCCTCACACAGGCAGCCCAGGACGTCCCTCCCATGACCAGAGCAGCAGTGATAGCTTTTATTCCTGCATAAGGGTTTTACTTGAAAACATTACAAATATTTTACTATGAATCCTGCAAAAAGCTTTTTCCCTGTTGCTTGAAATATAAACCCCCTGTTACAGAAAAGGAACAGCTTGTGTAAATAGACACCTGCACCCAGAAGCCTACAGGAAAACTTTCTACAAGAATCTTTCTCTTTCTGCAGATTGACATTTCAAAATGCCACTACCTGGTGGACTTGGACACAGTGGCTGAAACCCCGAGGGAACCGAGGTATTCCTTGAACAAAGAAGAGTGGGTGACCATTGCCTACAAGCCATTCCTAGATGCTTCCAGGTATGTTTTACATGTTTGAGGAGTGAGAAAGGCTGGCAGATCTGTCAACTAATGTTTTTTGCAATTATTTGCTTACAACAGCTATACTCGGGGAGGAAAGACGCATTGTCAAAAGCCAGCTTGAATTTCATTCTCCAGTAGAGGCAGCTTGCTGGTTACAAGGAACAATGATTCCAATACATTGGAATCAATCCATGATTTCAATACATTGCTCAAAAGTTTAAATCTTGCAGGGTTTGGTGTTGCTGATGGAGGAAATCGGATTGCTTTTCTCCTTCACGTTTAAGCTTGGCTTTTACTTGTAGCTTGCTTGGTAAAAGAATGCATGTGTTCAAAATGTACTCAACTAGCACAGCTCCAGCAATTACCAATCAAACATAAGGTTCTAATGTGATACAGCCATTAAGCCCTCCTGCTCGAGTACTCCATTGGCCCCGTTGTTGCGAAGTGCTGCGAAATGCCAGCTCCCAGCATGAGCAGGGCACAGGGCGAATGCTGGCAGCAAAATGCCTCGTAGGCTTTAAGGCAGTCTGTCCCCATTAATTCAATACCCTCAGCAGAAGATCAGCACAACAACACCTTCCTGACCTCTATCCTCCTTGATCCCACTGGAGTGGGTGGTGGGCAGGCTGAAGAATGGTGGTGATTCCAGCTGGTGATTCTGTCACAAACCAGCTTCGGTCCCACCAGCGAGAAGAAAATGGGAGTGGGCTCTGCACGCTTGTACCCTTGACATCCCTTGCATCCCTGACTCACCAACCCAGACCTTTTGCAAAGCCTCTTTTGTATCAGTTTGAAAGTGTTGGCTAATGAGCACTTTAAAGATTGATTTCTTTTTTCCTTTCTTGTTTCAGGTCCTCAAAGCTGCTGCGTGCGTTCTACATTCCTCTCCTCTCAGAACGGTACACATGGCATGCAAACTACACTATCCTGAAATCCAGGAGGTCGAAGCAAACGAGGAAAAAAATGGGAGGCTAGGAGCACTCCTGTGTAACAAAACCAAAAGCATGTGCTGACACTCTTGGACAGCTACAGAAGCATTCTTCAGTTCCTTTTCTGAAAGATTATGCTTGTAAGATTTACTAATAAAGATTTACCATGAAGTGATTTGCTCTGCAAGCTTCCAGCTGTAAGCGGGGTTCCTCATCTTTCAGTGCTCAGTGTCAGGTCTCTGCTCTGCCTACACAGAACGGTTTAGAACCAGTCTGAAAATCCAGCAGCCACCTACGAACGTATTAGCTGTGCTGTTCACTGTGTTGTTATCTATTACACCAGAGAAGAGAAAAACGGAAAATAAAAGGGCGGGCAGGATGAGGTTCTGCTCTGGGTTGCAATCTGGCATTGGGAAAATCCAGTTCTGCTCCCTCTGTGTCTCTAGTCCATGGCTGTTTAAGTACTGCTCTGCTCGCTTTCTCCTAGGGATTTTTTTCAGACAACAGATCTTTTTTTTTTCTTTTTTTTTGGAACAAAAAGGAAGGAAGAAAACACTTGAAAGACACTTAACTGTGAAATGCACTGAGTCTTGAGGAATGAAGTAGTCTGTGCCATGGAGAAACAGTCTGAAGTTGCTCTGTCCAGAGGATCTTTTCAAGAAAAAACTTGTGCTTTTGGGGAAAAAAGCCACCACAAACTTCTGAATTGAACTAATTGTCTGTTTTAGTGGGACTGGGATGTTTTTGTTATATTTGACAATATGCAACACAGTGTGTTTGTTTGTTATTTATCATTTTTTAAAGATACCTATGACATGCTTTCAGGTCTACAATGCAGCATCTTAAAATTTCTGGGAACAGGCCGAGGAGAGGAGAAAGGTTGGTTTTATTTTTTGCAATCCTGTTTCCTAAAGCTACCAAGCCAAGTGTGTTTGTTCCATTGGTCCACTATGCTTCAGAGGAATGATGTGTGTAATTACATCTCCATTTTAAAAACATGCAGTGTAACAAGCTGAATGGAGTCGCTTTCACCCACATCCTTGGAGCTGTGCAGGGATGGGATGGGATGGAGCAGAGAGGAAGCTCCCTTTGCAAACGGCTACGCAAACTCCATAGCTCGTGGTGACGGATTAGATTGGGCTGTGTGTGCAGTGACAAAGAGCTGGGTGAGAAGAAAAGCAGAATTGTAAGAGAAATTTGGAAATGCAGGGAGAGGTACTCCGAATCCTCTGTGTTTCATTAGGAGAAAGGTTTTCAATGATGTTCTCTGTTAGAAACAGCTTTTATGGTGCCAAACTCGGTAAGAGCAGACTGCACTTTGTTGTCTGATTACAGCATGGAAAAGGCAGTCCTCTCCCCTTGCACCCTCACCGTATGGAGGAACAATTTGAAGCACAGACTCTGAATTTAACCTTTAATGGGTACTGCAGGCGGCCGGGGGGCACGCATGCGCGGTGACGCCCGCGGGCGCCCTCTGCCGTCACCTGCTGGTGGGAAAGGGGTAATGCAGGATGCCGGGGCCGCGCATGCGCGTTGCTTATTACGTCTTTTTTTTTTTTGATGTGTAATTTCCTATGCTCCTAGATTTTTCTTCATATGTAAATGAAAGGTTTGAGCTAATTCCCGTTGAAAATATTTCATTTACTTTCTTGGTTGTATTGTCCTTTCTATGATCAAAGCTGAGGCAAAAATACTGTAAATTTTGTCTGCACTCCGCATGCTGTAAACTAGGGATAGGGGAAAAAAAATAAAAAAATAAAGAATACAGCTACTGCTGCTCCTTCTCTTTTTCTTGTGGTTTGCCCCTCCTCCTCTTTCCCAGGTGATTGGGTTTGGGTGCTGGGCGGGGCCAAATGTTATACGAGCTCTAGGCATGCTATCACAGAGCTCCTTCTGCCTGGGCTGCTTTTTGGGGTCAGTGCAGTCTCCTGCCGAGAGGCCATGTTGGGTGCCCGGGGCATTCTGGGAAATGTAGTTCTCGGACTCCGACCTTCGGGAGGCCATGTTGGGTGCCCAGAGCATGCCGGGAAATGAAGTTCTGGGACTCCGAACTTCCGGGAGGCCATGTTGGGTGCCCAGAGCATGCCGGGAAATGTAGTTCTCGGACCCAGAACTTCCGAGTAGTTCTCGGACTCCGAACTTTTAGCGCGGCGCCACTCGGACACATTTAAGCGCGACGCCGCCCGGAAACATTTTAGCGCGACGCCGCCCGGACACATTTTAGCGCGGCGCCACCCAGACACATTTAAGCGCGGCGCCGCCCGGACACATTTTAGCGCGGCGCCACCCGGACACATTTAAGCGCGGCGCCACCCGGAAACATTTTAGCGCGGCGCCACCCGGACACATTTAAGCGCGACGCCGCCCGGAAACATTTTAGCGCGGCGCCACCCGGACACATTTAAGCGCGGCGCCGCCCGGACACATTTAAGCGCTGCGCCGCCCGGACACATTTTAGCGCGGCGCCGCCCGGAAACATTAAAGCACGGCGGCATCCGGACACATTTTAGAGCGGCACCGCCCGGACACATTTTAGCGCGGCGCCGCTTTGAAACATTTAAGCGCGGCACCGCCCGGACACGTTTTAGCGCGGCGCCGCCCGGACACGCCACCGGTGCTGTTTCCGGGGGGACACATTTGCGGGGCGCACCGGGGGGGGTCCATGGGGCATGGGGGAACCCCAAAGGGGGGGGAACCAAAATGAGGGGGGAACCAAGTGTGCGGGGTGCGGTTGCCGGGGGGATGCATTTGCGGGGCGCACTGGGGGGGGAACCAAAATGAGGGGGGAACCAAGTGTGCGGGGTGCGTTTGCCGGGGGGACGCATTTGTGGGGCGCACCGGGGGGGGGAACCAAAATGAGGGGGGGAACCAAGTGTGCACGGTGCGGTTGCCGGGGGGACGCATTTAAGGGGCGCACCGGGGGGAACCAAAATGAGGGGGGAACCAAGTGTGCGGGGTGCGGTTGCCGGGGGGACGCATTTGCGGGGCGTACCGGGGGAGGAACCAAAATGAGGGGGGAACCAAGTGTGTGGGGTGCGGTTGCCAGGGGGTTAGGGTTAGGGTTAGGGTTTTGGTTTAGGGTTAGGGTTCTTTAGGGTTAGGGCTAGGGTTATCGTTAGGGGGTTAGGGGTAGTGTTAGGGGGGTAGGGTTAGGGTTAGGGCTTAGGGTTAGGGGTAGTGTTAGCGTTTGGGCTTAGGGTTTGGGTTAGGGTTAGGGTTATGGTCAGGCCGTTAGGTTTAGGGTTAAGGTTAGCGTTAGGGTTAGGGATAGGGTTAGGCTTAGGGTTCATTAGGGTTAGGGTTAGGGCTTAGGGTTATGGTTAGGGGGTTAGGGTTCGGGTTCGGGGTTAGGGTTAGGTTTAGGCTTAGGGTTAGGCGGGTTAGGGTTAGGGTTCGGGTTAGGGCTCGGTTTAGGGTTAGGGTTTTGGGTTAGGGTTAGGGTTTGTTAGGGTTAGGGCTAGGGTTATGGTTAGGGGGTTAGGGTTAGGGTTAGGGGGTTAGGTTTATGGTTAGGGGTTAGTGTTAGGGTTAGGGTTAGGGTTAGGGTTAGGTTTTGGGTTAGTGTTAGGGTTAGGGTTAGAGGGTGAGGCTTAGGGTTAGGGGTAGGGTTAGGGTTAGGGTCAGGGTCAGAGTCAGAGTCAGGGTAAGCGTAGTGAGATCCTCTCCTGAGCCTATGTTATTTTCCAAAGATTGATTCACGGTTTTAAGGTTTCAGGGGTAGGGCACTAGGGTTGGGTTTCAGGGTAAGTATTCTCAGGGTTTATGTTTAGGATTTTAAGTTGTTTAGGTTTGGATTTTTAACGGTTAGTATTTTAGGGATTTGGGGGTTAAGGTTTTAAGTTTTTCAGGGTTAGTGTGTTAGGGTTTTAGAGTTTCTGGGTTGTAGTGTTGAAAGGTTTTTTAGGGTTAGAGTCTTAGGGTTTTCTTTTTGGTCAATTATTTAGGGTTAGGGTTTTAAAATTTTATTTTTATTGATTGATTTGATTGATTGATTGATTGATTTTTTCAGGTTAGGTTCTCCAGGGTTAGGGTTTTGAGTGTCCTAATTTTTTGGGTTAGGGTTTGGAGCATCTTAATTTTTTGCGTTAGGGTTTTGAGCATCTTAATATTTTGTGTTAGTGCTTTGAGCGTCTTATTTTTTTGGATTAGTGTTTGGAGCGTTTTGGGGTTTAGGTTTTTGGGTTTTTAGGTTTTAGTTTTTGGGTTTAGGTTTTGAGAGTTCCTATTTTTTGGGCTTGGGATTTTTGGGCTTGGGCTTGTGTCAGGGGTCAGAGGTCAGGGGTCAGAGGTCAGAAGTCAGAGGTCAGAAGTCAGAGGTCAGAGGTCGGGGGTCAGGGGTCGGGGGGCAGAGGTCAGGGGTCAGAGGTCGGGGGTCAGAGGTCAGGGGTCAGGGGGTCATAAGTCAGGGGTTCAGGGGTCAGGGGTCGGAGGTCAGAGGTCAGGGGTCAGAGGTCAGTGGTCAGTGGTCAGAGGCCGGAGGTCAGGGGTCGGGTGTCAGGGGTCAGAGGTCAGGGGTCGGGGGGTCAGAGGTCAGGCGTCAGAGGTCAGGGGTCAGATGTCGGGGGTCAGAGGTCAGGGGTCAGAGGGGGTCCATGGGGCTTGGGGGGACCCCAAGGGTGGGGGGGAACCAAAATGAGGGGGGAACCAAGAGTGCGGGGTTCTGTTTCCGGGGGGACGCATTTGCGGGCGCACCGGGGGACCAAAATGAGGGGGGAACCAAGTGTGCGGGGTTTTGTTTCAGGGGGGGACACATTTTTGGGGCGCACCGGGGGGGGAACCAAAATGAAGGGGGAACCAAGTGTGCGGGGTGCGGTTGCCTGGGGGACACATTTGCGGGGCGCACCGGGGGGGGGGGAAACAAAATGAAGGGGGAACCAAGTGTGCGGGGTTGTGTTTCCGGGGGGACACATTTGAGGGTCGCACCGGGGGGGGGGAACCAAAATGAGGGGGGAACCAAGTGTGCGGGGTTGTGTTTCCGGGGGGACACATTTTTGGGGCGCACCGGGGGGAACCAAAATGAGGGGGGAACCAAGTGTGCGGGGTTGTGTTTCCGGGGGGACACATTTTTGGGGCGCACCAGGGTGACCATGGGGTTAGAGTTAGGGTTAGGGTTAGATCCGTTAGGGTTAGGGGGTTAGGGTTGGGGTTCGGGGGTTAGGGTTGGGGGTTTCGGGTTGGGGGGTTAGG